GTTTCCATGGAGGATTTGTTTGTGTGGAATGAGGAGATGTCACCACAGGGAGATGGCACCACAGGGAGTGACCCTTGTGTCCCCATTCCCCAGGGAGCAGTTCCCTCACCTGGGCAGTGCCATCCTGTCCCATCTCTGTGTTTGCAGTGCAGTTAATGGTTTAATGTTTGCTGCCTCCAGCTCCAGCTCAGCTCTTCCCATCACTGCTGGCACCATCTCTGTACAGGCAGGGGGCTGGGGGTGGATTTTGTTTTATTTTATTTTATTTTATTTTATTTTATTTTATTTTATTCAATTCCTTTTGGAGTTTCCAGCCAATGGAAACTCAGTAAAGCATTCAGTAAAGCAGTGCAGGTGGCTGTAATGCAAATTCTTTAATTCTTTGTCATTCACAGGCTATAGAATGGGGTTTATTGGTGGGGGGGGGTTTTTGTCTTTTTTTTTTTTTTCTTTTTTTTTTTTTTGTGTGTGGAGTTTTTTTTTGTTTGTTTGTTTGTTTGTTTGTTTGGGGTTTTTTTGGGTTTTTTGTGGGATTTTTTGGTTTTTTGTTATTATTATTCCCTCATCTTGGGGTGCAGATGGATGCACTGCTACAGTGCTGAATGTAGACACCTCAGTGCCCCAGTGATTTTGGGGTGCAGCTGAGCAGAACTTGTCAGTGAGCAAGCTGCCCCCCTGGCCTGGAGCAGAGCCTCTGCAGGGCTGGGTTGGCTGCTTGGTGCTTTTTGGGGTCTGTGTGCCCAGTTCTGGAGGAATGAGGGGTTTGTTTCAGTGTTTGCTCACAGCTGAGCAGAGCTGGTGCCCCGCTGTGGGCATTTACCTGGGCACGGCCTGCACTGAGCAGGGAGAGAGGCTGGGGCTCAGGGCAGGGGGCACAGGCAGTGCCAGCACCCCAGGACATCTCCTGGGCCTGCAGGGACTTCACTCAGCCCTTCATTTCCAAAGTGACCTGACTTATTAATGAATCCTCGAAAGTCCCGTTTTTGGGGAGAAGAGATGCACCCAGGAGTGGTGCAGCCCCTCAGATTCTGCCTCTGTGGGCCTCCCATGGCTGGTTCCTCCCAGCCACATCCTTTATTTTTATCTATCACATGCCTGAATATTTTTCTTCTTCCTGTAACTGACGTGAGCAGTGAACAGACACAGAACCACAGAACTACAGAATTCAGAAAAATCACAGAATCACCAGGTTGGAGGAGACCTAAAGATCATCGAGTCCAACCCAGCCCCAACCCCTCACCCAAACCCTGGCACCCAGTGCCACATCCAGGCTTTGTTAAACACACCCAGGGATGGTGTCTGCACCACCTCCCTGGGCAGAACATTCCAGAACTTTATCACAATTTCTGGAAAAAACACTTTCTTAATATCCAACCTGTATTTCCCTTGGCACAGCTCGAGGCTGTGTGCTCTGGTTGTGTCAGTGCTGCTGCAGACAAAGCCCAGCCCCAGCTGAGCACAGGCACCTTTCAGGAGCTGTGAGAGTGATGGGGGCAGCCCTGAGTCTCCTTTTCTCCAGGCTGGGCACCCCCAGCTCCCTCAGGGGTTCCTCTCAGGGTTTGTGTTCCCAGCCCCTCTGGATGTGCTCAGTGTCCCAAGGTCCTTCCCAAACTGAGGGCCCAGAGCTGGGCACTGCACTCAGGGTGTGCCCTCACCCCTGAGCTCAGTGTGGCCAAGGAAACACAAATATTGCTCCTCACACGCGGAGAGCAGCTCAGGTGCCCCTCATCCATCCATCTCAGCCCTGTGAACAGCCCCCATCACCCAGGGGTGTCTGCAGGCTCAACCAGGCCAAATCTCCTGAGTCTCCTTTTCTCCCTCAGTGGTTCCTTACAGGGTTTGTGTTCCAAACCCCTCCCCAGCCAATTGTCTTTTTCAGGAATACAGAGTTTATTTCTTTTTCTAAATATGAGAATATCAGGAGTATTTGCTGTCCCAGTCAGTGTGGGCAGATCTCAGGAGCCCCCCTGTGTTTGGGAGGGCACTGAGGCCTGCAGGGAGAGGGACAGGGGCCCATGTGCAGGGAGAGGAACAGCAGCCCACATCCCAGGCTCCCCTCAGCCTCCAGCACACTCTGTCCAGCAACTTTCCATGACAGGAAACATCTGCTGGGAGGCAGGGCCGGGTTACTGCCGGGCATTGGCCGCCGGCCTTCCCAGCTCCACTCACTGCAGCCATGGGGAGGCATTTTGGGATCTTCCCTGCCCGCCCCTTCCATGAGAAGCACAGAGACTGAGGCTGCCTTTGAGAGCAGAGCCCAAGGCACTGAGGAGGCAGAATTGCTGCTTTTTCTGCTGCCACAGAGGGGAGAGCTGAGCTGGAGCTGTTGGAGCCGCGTGAGTCGGGGCCGGAGCCGTGTGGGGTCGGGTCTGGCGCTGCTGGACATTTTGGGGGCTTGTGCTGCCCTGCTCACACCTGCCAGGGCTCCTGCAGGGGATGCCCGCAGCGAGAAACTGCTGAGGCTGCAGCAGGAGAGCACAGAGAGTGCCCAGCAGCACAACCACCCCCATGAGCCTCTTTGGGAAAAGTGCTCTGGAGGGGAAATCCTGGCTGGGATCATCAGGGGCCGCCTGGGATGAGCTGGATGTGGGCAGGAGAGCAGAGGAAGGCACCTAAACCTACCTGGACTCCACCTGAACTCCTTCCAGGCTGCACTTCTGGGCTTTGGACAAGCTGGATATGGGCAGGAGAGCAAGGGAAGGCACCTAAACCCACCTGGACTCCTGCCAGACTGTACCTCAGGGCTTTGGATTACCTGGATGTGAGCAGGAGAGCAGGGGAAGGCACCTAAACCCACCTAAACTCCTGACAGACTGCTCCTCTGGGCTTTGGATGAGCTGGATGTGGGCAGGAGAGCAAGGGAAGGCACCTAAACTGACCTGAACTGCTGCCAGGATGCATTTCTGAGCTTTGGATGTGGGCAGAAGAGCAGAGAAAGGCACCTAAATTGACTTAAACTCCTGCCAGGCTGCACCTCTCTGTGTTTGGAAGAGCTGGATGTGGGCAGGAGAGCAGGGGAAGGCGCCTAAACCCACCTGGACTCCTCAGGCTGCATCTCTCTGTGCTTTGGACAAGCTGGATGTGGGCAGGAGAGCAAGGGAAGGCGCCTAAACCCACCTGGACTCCTGCCAGGCTGCACCTCTCTGAGCTTTGGACGTAAAGAAGGAGCAGAGGGAGCAGGAAGAGCAGAGTTGCAGTGGAGCTGGGCAGCTGAGCAGGCCTGGGGGAAGGAGCTGATGGATTCCCTGCTGGAGTGTGGCTCCCTCTGGGATCTTTGCCTGGACCAAGAGCTGCCCTGGTGGGACCCGGAGGGATTTATGGACTTCTCTGGAGGAAATGCCAGACCTGGACCTGATGGGATCCCAGCTGTGAGTGTCTGAACTGAGCTGGCTGTGCCCTGGCAGAGCAGAGCCTCTGCCAGGACAGGTTTGAGCTGCTGCTGAGCCCCAAGCTCAGCCCTGCAGGGAATTCAATCCCCTTTCCCCACTCCATCCCCATCCTCTCTGCTTGTTCCTGGAAATCTTGGCTGTGGGCTCTTGCTGGAGCCCATCTCACACCAAGATCTTTTCCAGATGTTCAGGCTGGGAGTTTGGGAAGTACAATTGATGTTTCTGTCATCAGCTGGCTGGCAGGTTTTGCTCAGAGTGAGATCCCTTCCTGTGGGCCCTCTGCTCCTGTTGGAATATTCTGTTTCTAGTTCTGAGCTGCTGTGAGGAGCAGGGAACGCTTTTGGGGGCGAGGGGTTGTCTGTGATTTGACAACCAACATCAAATCTGCTGCGATCTGACAGCTTTTGGCAGAGCTGTGAGGCTGATTCTAAATAAACTCTGTATTCCTCCCACCCCTGTGGCTCCACCACCATTCTTAAGCAGAAAATGCCTTCTCTAATCTCAGAATTTTGGGGCCCTTCAGTGCTGGAACACTCCCACATTTCTGCCCTAGGAGATCAGTGCCTCTGGATTGTTGGATAAAGAAGGAAAATGTGGCTCCTTCTCTGCATTTGTGGGCAAAGGAGCATTGCAGATCCTCTGGAGATGTGGGTTTGAAGGGGTTGTGGCTGTGGGGAGCAGCTGGCACAGGGTGGAGGAGCTGTGGGATGTCCCTGATGTCCCTCCAGCCCTGTGGTCCCTGAGCCCTCCCTGAGGCCAGGACACAGAACAAGGGCAGGGCAGGGTTCAGTGCCTGGGATATTTGGGAGAGCCCTTTTGGAGTGAGGTGTTCTCACTATCCCAGCACGTGGCTGTGTTTGGTGGGGAGAGGGGTGGGCATGGGGAATCCTGAGCTCTCAGTGACAATGCTTGCTCAAGCTCCTCTGGCAGGGCTGAATAACCCATTTTCTGTGGCAAACCCTCATTTTTTAGGGTGAATCCCCCATTTTTTGGGCTGAATCACGCCTTTTCTGGGGTAAATCCTCCATTTCCCGTGCTAAATCAGCCATTTTCTGGGGTAAATCTATTTTCTGTGCTGAATCCTGTTTTCTGTGGTGAATGCCTTGTTTTCTGTGGTGAATCCCCTATTTTCTGGAGTTAATCCCCCATTTTCTGTGCTGAATCCCTCATTTTTGGGGGTAAATCACCTATTTTCTGTGCTGAATACCTCATTTTATGTTCTGAACCCCCCATTTTCTGGGGCAAATCCCCATTTTCCTGGGGTAGCTGCCCCATTGCTGGTGTTTGGCAGGTGAGTGCTGCAAGCAGAGCACACCTCCCACCTTGGACAGCATGCAGGGACAGAGAACTCTGCAGGCACAGAGAACTCCTGAGCAGACAGGGCTGCAGCCTTTCCAGGATTTTTCCCTTTCCAGCCCGGATTGCTTTCCCAAGCCACGCTCTCCTCTTCCTCTCCCTCCCTGCATAAAGCCCGAACCCTCCCATCTCTGGGCTGTGATGGGAGCTCCTCAGTGCCTCTGCCCCCCTTCTCCTGCTGTCCCTGAGGTGTCCCTGCTGTCCCCAGCCCGTGTCCCAGCTGGCCCTGTCCTCACAGCCCCTTTTTCCCTGCAGGTGCTGAGCCCCACGTACAAGCAGCGCAATGAGGATTTCAGGAAACTCTTCAAGCAGCTCCCGGACACCGAGCGCCTCATCGTGGGTAAGGGCAGCCCCAGGGGGGCTCTGGGGAGGGGAACAGCACAAACCCAGCCACGTTTTCATTCTTAAATTCATCCACAAACACCAGGGGCTGATGTCCAAAAAGGAGACAGAGCAGTCCTGTAACTTTATTTCCATGTCTATATGGATTAAATAAATACTATATACTATATACTATATACTATATACTATATACTATATACTATATACTATATAATATATATATAAACATGGATATTATATATGAAAACATGGATATATATATTTATATATAACATATATATTTTGATATGTTAATATGTATTTTCATATATTCATATATTTCATAATATAGGTTTTCTTTCTTAAATTCACCCACAAACACTGGGGGTTGATGTCCAAAAAGGAGACAGAGCAGTCCTGTGACTTTATTTCCATGTCTATATGGATTAAATAAATAAAAAAAATATAATATATAACATATAATATAAATATAATATATCAACATGGATATTATATATGAAAACATGGATATATAATTTATATCTAATATCTGATATCTAATATCTATTATATAATATATAATATATAATATATAATATATAATATATAATATATAATATATAATATATATTATATAATATATAATATATAATATATAATATATAATATATAATATATAATATATATTTTATAAAATATATATCCATTTTTATATACAACATATATTTTTATATATGTTAATACATGTTTATATTCATAAACATATTAAATATATCCATGAAATGGATATATTTAATGAAGGGCCTTCAGGTATGGTCATGAGTTTTTCACACAATTACAAATTTGGTCTATTTGCATATCAGGGGTTAATTGTCCAATTAGAGATTCATGTAATGAGGTCATATTCCCCCAGTTTTCTCTCCTTCCCAGTTCACTTTTGTTTGTGCTTTTTGGGGCCTGAGGCTGTTGGGTGTCCTTGAATTTCATGCCCAGAGGAATTATTTTTTCTGACCAAAATGTGAAGAGTTTATATGGAGTTTATATGGAGTTTATATGGGGTTTAGTCATGCACTGATGCAGCTCACGATTCTGAAAAACACAAAGGCAAAGCTCTGAAGGTATCAGTGGCATCTTGTGGTGTTCTGCTCCTCTCTGACCACGTGCTGTCCTCCCCCAGACTACTCATGTGCCCTCCAGAGGGACATTCTCCTGCAGGGCCGCCTCTACCTCTCCGAGAACTGGATCTGCTTCTACAGCAACATCTTCCGCTGGGAGACGCTGGTGAGGCTCCTCTGCTGCTTGCTCATCACTTTCCCCCTTTCCTGGTGTTGTTTCCTGCCTGGTGAGGCTCTCCCACTGTGGGCTGTGCCCACATTGGCTTTGGAAGGGCTGTTCTTTCTGCTTTTCTCACAATTTTCCCCCTTTCGTGGTGTTTTTCCATGCCTGGTGAGGCTCTCCCATTGCTGCCAACCCTCGGGCTCACATTGGCTTTGGAAGGGCTCTTCTGCTGCCTTTCTCATGAATTTCTCCCTTTCCTGGTGTTGTTCCCTGCCTGGGGGACGCTGGTGAGATTGTCCCACTGCTGTTAACCTCGGGGCTGTGCTCATTGGCTTTGGAAGGGTCGTTCCTGCTGCCTTTCTCATGAATTTCCCCCTTTCCTTGTGTTGTTCCCTGCCTGGTGAGGCTCTCCCACTGCTGCCAACCCTGGGGCTCTGCTCCATAGGCAGCAGGAGCAGCCCTTCCAAAGCCATTCTCATGATTTTCTCCCTTTCCTGGTGTTTTTCCCTCCCTGATGAGGCTCTCCCACTGCTGCCAATCCCAGGGCTCAGATTGGCTTTGGAAGGGCTCTCCTGCTGCTTTTCTCATGATTTTCTCCCTTTCCTGGTGTTTTTCCCTGCCTCTTTTTCTCTGCTTTTAACCCCCTGTGTTCTCAGAGGTGTATCCATGTCCTCAGTGATCACACCTGGTGCCCATATTCAAATCTGAGCACCCATTGGTTTGACCACAGCTCCCAAAAACTCACTTCCTTTTCAAACCAGGACACTGGGAGACACTTGTGAGGCTCTCCCAGTGCTGCCAACCACGGGGTTGTGCCCACATTGGCCTTGGAAAGGCTTTTCTGCTGCCTTTGTCATGATTTTCTCCCTTTCCTGATGTTTTTTCCCTGCCTGGGAGACACTGGTGAGATTGTCCCACTGCTGCCAACCCCGGGCTGTGCTCAGATTGGCTTTGGAAGGGCTTTTTTGCTGCCTTTCTCATTAATTTCTCCCTTTCCTGGTGTTTTGCCCTGCCTGGGAGACACTGGTGAGGTTTTTCTTCTGCCTTTCTCTTGAATTTCCCCCTTTCCTGGTGTTTTTCCCTCCCTGGTGATGCTCTCCCACTGCTGTTAACCCCGGGGCTCTGCTCACACTGCCTTTGGAAGGGTTTTTCTGCTGCTTTTCTCATGATTTTCTCCCTTTCCTGGTGTTTTTCCCTGCCTGCTGCAGCTGACAGTTCGCTTGAAGGACATCTGCTCCATGACCAAGGAGAAGACAGCCCGGCTCATTCCCAATGCCATCCAAGTTTGCACTGACACTGAAAAGGTAAATCCCACATGGATGAGGCTGGCAGGGCACTTAGAGGGTTTGGGGGAGGTTTTTCCAAACTGGGAAGAGGACTGGGAGCAGGGATTGTGCTGAGCTGGAGCTCAGGTGTGGGGCCAGGTGAAATATTCAGATTTTACAGCAGCACATCTCTCACAGAGCTGTTTCAGTGCTCACTCCCTGGTGAGAGCCTCTCCATGAGCTCACTCCAGCTGGAAAGTGACCCCAAACAGCTTTATTGTGTTCTTCACCTGTTTTTTGGCTTTTTCTGAGCTGATTTTTCTCTCCCTTTCTCCCCATCCAGCACTTTTTTACCTCCTTTGGGGCCCGGGACAGGACGTACATGATGATGTTCAGACTCTGGCAGAATGCTCTGCTTGACAAGGTACAGAGGGATGGATGGAAGGGTGGGGATGGATGTGGGCAGGAGCAGCACTTCTGGCTGAAAAAACACCCAGAGAGAGACAACACAAGAGTTTGGGCAGAAGGGACAGCAAATGAAGTGATTTTGGGCATTAGGGACATGAAACACAAGAGTTTGCGCAGAAGGGACAGCAAATAAAAGTGGTTTTGGGCAGTAAGGACATTAAACACGAGTGATTTTGGGCAGTAGGGACATTAAACACAAATGTTTAGGCAGAGCAGGCTCATGACTGCAGAGGCAATTCCCTCTTTTTGCAGGGATTTTTTTTTCTGGGGTTAATCACCCATTTTCTGAGGTAAATCACCCATTTTCTGAGGTAAATCACCCATTTTCTGGGGGAAATCACCCATTTTCTGGGGGAAATCACACATTTTCTGGGGTAAACCACCTGTTTTCTTGGGCAAGTCAACCATTTTCTGGGAGAAATCACCTGTTTTCTGGGATAAACCACCTATTTTCTGGGGGAAATCACCCATTTTGTGGGATAAATCACACACAGTAGGTTCCACTCTGCCTCTGCTGAGGAATCAGGGTCTCCAGAAGGAATATTATTTTTTTTGAAGTCTCTAATTCCACAGTGGAGCAGCCCTCAAGAAAGCAGGACAGAAAATGAATGTTCAGGACATCCCAAATCCAAGTGAGGGCAGTTGTGGGTGCAGGGTGCACTGGGTGGGGGCTCAGTGGGTTGGATTTTAAAATAAATCTGTTCCTGCTGTGCCAGAGACCCTGCAAATCCTTGATTTAATTTGAGTATCTGTTCCATACATATGGCGTGGAGGGGATTTCTGGCCCTGATGTTCCAGCATTTTGGGGTGTCCTGGCTGGAATTCAGGCCCTGCTGGAGGAATGAGGCACCAGGAATACCCTGTCCCAAAATTTAGAGTAGGATTTAGGAGCAGAAAGGATCACCTTGCCTGTGGTTGTAACCTGAGCAGCTTTTGGAGCTCCAAATGGAATTCAGTGCCCTTGCTGTCGAGGTCAAGGCAAAAGGGAACTGAGAGAGGGGCTGATAAACACAGGAAACACTTCCAGAGCTCTTTTTTCCAAATGTGGGATGCAGGAAAAGGGGAGAAAAAGCTGAGTCCAGTTTTCCTGATAAAATATGGGTGTGGGTTATTGTGTGTGGGAAGGAGGAGGAGCAGGCAGATTTCTCTGGATGAAAATTCCTCATTAGAGGTTTTTTCCCCCCATATTTTCGGTTGCTGCTGTGAGGAACTAGATTAAAAAATTCCTGCCTCATCTCATGCAGTTACTATGGGAAAAAATTCAAGCCAGCAGCTCAGAAAAAGTTCACTGGGTTTGTTTCCCCTCATTACCAAGAAATCTTTGTTGTTGGTCATAAGTTTCTTAGGGGTAAAAATCCCCTTTCATCCCTGTAGCACATCTTTAAATCACAAGTTTAAATCACAAGCCCCATTTTTCAGAGCCTCATGTCACAGTCATGTGGTGATCACTGACCTGCATCCCTAAAATCTGGGCTTTTTTCAATGGTCTGGATAATTATTTTCTCTTTTTTACTTTTATTTTAAACTTTTTACAGGGGTGTCTGGTGACATTTTTGATTCCAAACTGCAGCAGGAAATGTTTTTCTTCATTGCTTTAGATAATTTGAATTATTTTTTTAATAGATTGTTTTAGATCATTTTCCCTGCAGCTGGAATTCTTCAGGCAGCTTTAATTTAACAAAAAGTTTAAGGGAAAAAGAACCCAAAACTCATAAAGTCTTGGGGTTTGATGGAGCAGCAGACATTGAATGGAGGCACAGCAGAAGAGGTGGGAAAAGATCAGTGGAGGGAAATGCAGGGTTAGAGCTTCCTTTAGGACATTCCAGCCCTGTTAGTGGGAAATCTCATCCATATTTTAATAATAATATAATCAAACATTGAATATTGCATATATTACATATATATTACACAGATATACATATATATAATTACATATTTATTATTAAGATATACATAAGATTATGTATTATATATATTGTATATAAAATACATTCTACATATATTTTATACATTACATATGCTATGTAAAATTATATATGACATTATCTATAACTGTATAATTTAAAATATTTATTTATATACATTTATTATGGGATGTTTATAATATTTATTATGGGATATTATATTTATAACAAAATCATAATTACATATATGTATAGAACATATTAAGAGTACATTCTTTTAAAAGTAACATTTAAATAGAAATAAACAAATAATTGACATTTGAAATGATTACTATAATATATGAAAATTATATATTTATAAATATATAAATGCCGTTGTTGTTATATTTATATTTTGCATATTCATCTATTTATATACATATGGAATATATATAAAGATAGAAATTAAATATAAATATAGATAAAATGCACCTATAACTATAACTAAATATAAATATAAATATAAATATAAATATAAATATAAATAGTATGAATACAAATATAAATAGTATGAATATAAATATACAAGTATATATAAAAATAAGCAATAAAAATTAAATAATAATAATAATAACGAACTCCATAAAATGGAATTTCACAGAGCAGAGCCCACAGAAAGGCTCTCACCTAAAGGCTCAGAATCTCTCAGTTCTTTCAGGGCAAGGAATGTCCTCCTGGCAGTGACAATTCCAGATCATTTCAGTGTCTTTGGTCATTTTTGGCTGCACATTGGTGATTTTTCTGTGTCCCTGTTGCAGCCCCTGTGCCCCAAGGAGCTCTGGCACTTTGTCCACCAGTGCTACGGCAACGAGCTGGGGCTGACCAGCGATGACGAAGACTACGTGCCTCCTGATGATGACTTCAACACCATGGGGTGAGAGGGGAGGGCTGAGCGCTCTGGGGGGAGCACTGGGGGCCCCAGGGGAGCAGGGGGTGCTGCATGGCCCAAATGCTGCCTGTGCTGGCACCTCTGGGACCTGGCACAGGTGCTGCATGCCCCAAATGCTGCCTGTGCTGGCACCTCTGGGACCTGGCACAGGTGCTGCATGCCCCAAATGCTGCCTGTGCTGGCGCATCTGGGACCTGGCACAGGTGCTGCATGCCCCAAATGCTGCCTGTGCTGGCACCTCTGGGACCTGGCACAGGTGCTGCATGCCCCAAATGCTGCCTGTGCTGGCACATCTGGGACCTGGCACAGGTGCTGCATGGCCCAAATGCTGCCTGTGCTGGCACCTCTGGGACCTGGCACAGGTGCTGCATGGCCCAAATGCTGCCTGTGCTGGCACCTCTGGGACCTGGCACAGGTGCTGCATGCCCCAAATGCTGCCTGTGCTGGCACATCTGGGACCTGGCACAGGTGCTGCATGGCCCAAATGCTGCCTGTGCTGGCACCTCTGGGACCTGGCATAGGTGCTGCATGGCCCAAATGCTGCCTGTGCTGGCACCTCTGGGACCTGGCACAGGTGCTGCATGCCCCAAATGCTGCCTGTGCTGGCGCATCTGGGACCTGGCACAGGTGCTGCATGCCCCAAATGCTGCCTGTGCTGGCACCTCTGGGACCTGGCACAGGTGCTGCATGGCCCAAATGCTGCCTGTGCTGGCACCTCTGGGACCTGGCACAGGTGCTGCATGCCCCAAATGCTGCCTGTGCTGGCACCTCTGGGACCTGGCACAGGTGCTGCATGCCCCAAATGCTGCCTGTGCTGGCGCATCTGGGACCTGGCACAGGTGCTGCATGCCCCAAATGCTGCCTGTGCTGGCACATCTGGGACCTGGCCAAGCTGTGGCTCTGGAATGTGTGATGCCTACAAAGCTGGAGGTGGAGGGTTCCTCATGGAAGCTGGTGATGCCTTCTGAAGGCTGGCCTAGAATAGAGTTAGAGAATAAAGCAGGGATTTATTAAAAGGATCTCCTCAATGGATGCACCTCGGGCAGCACAAGAGCCCAGCCAGGGCTGCACCCAAGATGAACCAAAATGGTCCCAAAATGAACCCAGGGTGAACCAAAATTGTCCCAAAATGAACTCAGGGTGAACCCAAAATGATCGCACAATGAACCCAAGATAAGCCAAAATGGTCCCAAAATGAACCCAAGATGGACTCAAAATGGTCCCAAAATGAACCCAAGATGAACCAAAATGGTCCCAAGATGATCCAAAATGGTCCCAAAATGAACCCAAGATGAACCAAAATGGTCCCAAAATGAACCCAAGATGATCCAAAATGGTCCCAAAATGAACCCAAGATGATCCAAAATGGTCCCAAAATGAACCCAGGATGAACCAAAATGTTTCCAAAATGACCCAAAATGGTCTCAAAGCGCACAAGCGCTCACGGGGTCTCTCACTTTTGTACGTTCTGCTCCATTTGCATCTTGCAGTTCATTGTCCCATTCCAGCTTTAGGTTATCAAATCCCGTCCTTCTTGTTTTTGTGTCTTCAGTCCGTGTTGTTTGTGCTCTTGGGCCTGAAACTTGTATTGATTGTCCTTGGTCCCCAAGGACAAGGGGACCAAGGACAATTGGTCAGTTGTCAACAATTCCTTCTCAGTTCCTGGAGAAGGAATTGGAATTGTTTTGTCTTCCTGCTCTGTGCACAGAGCTTACCATCCCCTAATGTGAAGCTCAGACTCACACACTGAAGCAGCACAGAATCTGAAAAATAGAAAAGCTAAAACTTAAGGCACCACTGGGAGGGAGTGCAATGCCTGCTGAGCCAGCTGAACAATTCCAGAAATTCCAGAGCACCCTGGTCACAAGGCCAGGCAGTGTTGCATGGCCAGAAAATGCTGATGCTTGTCAATCCCTGTATAAACACCCAAAAAACTGGGGCTTGCTCTCCCCTGCACTGAGCCATTCCTGCCTCTGGACAGCCTGGAGACCTCATAGAAACATTCTCACTTGCTCTGTGTGTGCAGCTGTAGCTGTTGTGAGAGGGGTAACCATAAAAACCTGTGTTCTCTGTGGCGTCCCAGCTACTGCGAAGAAATCCCCGTGGAGGAGAATGAAGTCAACGACAGCTCCTCCAAGAGCAGCATGGAGGCCAAGCCCGAAGCCAGCCCTCAGCTGCCAAAGAAATCTGTCACTGCCAGCACCCTGACCTCCACAGGCAGCAGTGAAGCCCCAGCCTCGGTGAGTTTTCTCCCTCCCCTGGCAGCAGGAATTTGTTTTTCCTGAAATCCAGCACCCTGTGGGTCATATGAGGTTTGTTCATCCTCCAGCTCTTCCACTGCTGCTGATTTCAGTCCTTGGGCAGTGATTTTGTCACTGAGATTCAGCAGCAGGAGCATTTTTCTTTCTGTACTTCTGGGTGAAAAAAGAGACATAAAAGGGTTATAACTTCTTCCCTGCCTTCAGTTATTCCCTGGCAAACATTGTGTACCCTCCTGGAATTATGGCAGAGCAGACCTTGTTTAGATATTACTTCTTTTAGGTTCTTTTAGCCAAAACCAGTATTGGACAATATTGTGCTTGTCTGAACAAAAATCCTGGTGGTGCTCAAACCTTGAACACTGATTTTTTGAGAGGAGGTTTTACAAACACTGTATAGCAATTGTCCTCCTCTCTCTGTTTAATTCCCAGATATGTCAAGGGCAAATATTCAGAGATTGGCTCACAGATGTGAGGTTTTTTGAATTAAAGCCCATTTCCAGGTGCTGATCTTGCCTTGTTGTGCCCTGTCCTTGCTGCAGTTCGATGGAGTGCTCCCAGAGGAGGAGGAGGCAGTGGCAGAGAGTCCTGTGGAGAAGGACCTTGGCATTGCCAACATCATGGGAGAGAAAATCGACATCATTGGCCCTGTGAACTCCCCCTCCCTGGACTTCAATGACAACGAGGACATTCCCACAGAGCTCAGTGACTCCTCAGACACCCACGATGAAGGTAATAGGGAAAGGCCCCTCCACTAGGGCTCCTTCCAGCCTTATCCCATCCCTCCTGTGAGGGAATGGAGTGGTGGCTACTGAAATCCTTTCCTGGACCTTGGAGATGCAAAGAATTCCCATTGTGGGCTGCAGAAAGTGAATGTGATTACATTTTAGGATGTGCCTAAAAATTTTAGGATATGCCTAAAATAATTAATTATCCCTTCTATACGTAATTAATTATCCCTTCTGATATCCCAACTTCTTGCCCTGGGATCAGTGCAGGAAAATGGTTGTGTTGCCTGGTGAAGGCTGCTCTAGAGCAGAGGCTGGACAGAGCTAAAGAATAAAGCAGGGATTTATTAAAAGCCCTCCATGGATGCACCTTGGGCAGCACAAGAGCCCAGCCAGGGCTGCACCCAAGATGAACAAAAATGATCCCAGAATGAACCCTAGATGAACCAAAATGGTCCCAAAATGAGCCCAAGATGAACCAAAATGGTCCCAAAATGAGCCCAAGATGAACCAAAATGGTCCCAAAATGAACCCAAGATGAACCAAAATGGTCCCAAAATGAGCCCAAGATGAACCAAAATGGCCCCAAAATGCACGAGCGCTCCCGGGGTCTCTCCCTTGGATCAGTTCTGCTCCATTTGCACCTTGCAGTTCATTGTCCCATTCCAGCTTTAGCCCAGGCAGTCCCACCCTGCTTGTTTTTCTCTCTCCAGCCCACGGTGTTTGTGCTCCTGGGCTGAGATTTGGATCATTTGTCCTTGGTGCCCAGCTGGAGCAGGAATTGTTTTGTCTCCCTGCTCTGTGCACAGAGCTCACCATCCCTCAATATGAACCCAGACTCACACACTAAAGCAGCACAGAATGGGAAAAATAGGAAAGCTAAACCTGAGGCAGCAGTTGAAGTCTCTCCTTTAGGTTCCTTCTGAGGGAAATATTGAGGGAAATATGGAGGTCCTTGTGCTATGGAAGCACAATTTCCACCACCCTGGAGGTTCATGGCTGGACCTTGAGGCTCTCTTTGCCCACAGGGGAGGTCCAAGCCTTTTACGAGGACCTGAACGGCCGCCAGTACGTGAACGAGGTGTTCAACTTCAGCGTGGACAAGCTCTACGACCTGCTCTTCACTGACTCCCAGTTCCAGAGGGACTTCATGGAGCAGCGCCGCTTCTCTGGTGAGACAGAGCGGAAACTTTCCCGAGTTTTGGAAATTTTTTCCAGAATTTTCCATTTTGATTTAGGTGAAATGTACATCTTTGAGTTAAGTCCGTATTTTGAAAGCACGGCTTGTTCTTGCAAAAAGTTTTTGCTCAGAGAAACTGTTTCAATGAAGGACAGGGATAAGGAGGGGAAAACAGAGATCAGGTCAACCTGACCTAGGAATTCTTTCTGATAAAGAAGAATTAGTGGCAAATGTCACACGAAATTTGTAAAATGAATACGTATGAACCTATGTGAAATATAGGTATGAACCCAATTGTGAAATTGCCTGCTTTTGTATTTGAGAGGGGGATAAAAAGGGATCTGGAGTTCCCAGAGATACACATGTCTTTTAAGGAGAGGAATCTCCACGTGTCCAGCGCTGTAATAAACATACCGGCTTTGCAACTTTCACAAAGTTCTGGAGTTTGCTTCCACAAAACACTGGTGAGCTGCTGCTGCTGCTGCTGGACCTGCCAAGGGGCTGCAGGGGAAGGGCTCTGCTTTGGAATTATAATTTTGTCTGCTTGGGTGACATTCTGAGCAGATTTTGTCCAGTTGGCCACACTGTCCCATGTTGGTGGTAACCAAGAGCAAGCAGGACCTGAGTGTCCATTTGGTTTCATTTTCTAGCAGCTGGAGCAGCTCTTTTTGTGGGAAAAACTGATTTTCTTATTTTTTAGCATCACCTCTGCCTTGGAGCTACAATTTTGTCTGCTTGGGTGACATTCTGGCCACATTTTGTCCAGTTGGCCACACTGTCCCATGTTGGTGGTAACCAAGAGCAGGCAGGACCTGGTGCACATCTGGTTTCATTTTCTAGCAGCTGGAACAGTTTTTTTTATGGAAAAAGCTGATTTTCTTCTTTTTTACCATCACCTCTGCCTTGGAGCTACAATTTTGTCTGCTTGGGTGACATTCTGAGCAGATTTTGTCCAGTTGGCCACACTGTCCCATGTTGGTGGTAACCAAGAGCAAGCAGGACCTGTGTGCCCATCTGGTTACATTTTTAACAGCTGGGACAGCTTTTTTATGGAATAAAAATATTTTCTTGTTTTTTATCATCACCTAAGGCCTGATCTTCTGTTCAAGGCTTAACAGTGTGAGGGAAAAGCTCCACACCTGACATGGCAAAACTGCAGAGAGAATCCCTTGGCATGTCATACTCCTCCTTTCCCTGTAACTGTAGGTTTGCTGAAGGAGATAAATCCCCAGCCTCTCTCCCTTTCCCTGCACTTGAAAGAAGGGAAAATACTCACATTTAGCACAGGAGCTCTTTGTTTCACACTCAGCTGAGCTCTAGAACAGCCAAGCTCCCCAGGGGGAAGGAAATCCCATCCCACCTTGGTTATATGGCTGTGCCTTTCCCCAGGGACTGACCTGAGATCCCTCCCCAGTCCCTTGAATGTTGTTTTCTCCTCTCAGATATCATCTTTCACCCCTGGAAGAAGGAGGAAAATGGCAATCAGACCAGAGTGATCCTGTACACCATCACCCTCACCAACCCTCTGGCCCCCAAAACTGCCACAGTCACTGAGACTCAGGTGAGTGACACTGGCGCAGAGCTGCCCTGCGTGTCACTGTCGCATTTTCTGGAAAAAGCTGAGAAGCCTCAGAGAAAAATGAAAACAATAATTATCTGATTGCTTCTCCTGTGTTTTGCTGCTTTGGAACGTGGTTTGGACATTGTTTACCAACTGGTCATTGTTTGATTGGTTTCATGTGAATTGTTTTGACTTAATGGCCAATCACAGTCCAGCTGTGTCTTAAAATAATAAATTTGCCATCTTTAATATAATATAGTATCTTAAAATTATTCTTTAATATAATATAGTATCTTAAATAATAAATTAGCCTTCTATAATATAGTATCTTAAAAGAATTATTTAATATTATATAGTATCCTAAAAAAATAAATTAGCCATCTTTAATATAATATAGTATCTTAAAATAATTCCTTATTATAATATAGTATCTCAAAATAATTCTCTAATATAATATAGTATCTTAAAATAATAAATTAACCTTCTTTAATATAATATGGTATCTTAAAATAATTCCTTAATGTCATATAAATTAATAAATAAAATAAAAGAATAAGTTAGCCTTCTTTAATATAATATAGTAATTCTTTAATATAGTATTTTAAAATAATAAATTAGCCTTCTTCAATATAATATAGTGTCTTAAAATAATTCCTTAATATAATAGAGTATCTTAAAATAATAAATCAGCCTTCTACAATATAATATAGTATCTTAAAATAATAAATTAGCCTTCTTTAATAGAATATAGTGTCTTACTCTATTATATTAAAGAATTATTTTAAGACACTATATTATATTGAAGAAGGCTAATTTAGTATTTTCAGATACTCTATTATATTAAAGAACTATTTAATCTTAAAATACTAAATTAGCCTTCTTTAATATAATAGAGTATCTTAAAATAATTCCTTAATACAATATAGTATCTTAAAATAATAAATTAGTCTTTAATATAATATAGTAATTCTTTAATATAGTATCTTAATAAATTAGCCTTCTTTAATATAATAGAGTATCTTAAAATAATTCTTTAATATAATATAGTATCTTAAAATAATTCTTTGATATAATATAGCATCTTAAAGTAATACATTAACCATCTTCAATGTAATATAGTATCCTAAAATAATTCTCTAATATAATGTAGTATCTTAAAAGAATAAATTAGCATAATATAATATAATATAGTATCTTAAAAGAATTCTTTAGTATAGTATCTTAAAAGAATAAATTAGCCATCTTTAATATAATATAGTATCCTAAAATAATTCTTTAATATAATATAATATCTTAAAAGAATAAATTAGCATAATATAACATAACATAACATAACATAACATAATATAATATAATATAATATAATATTTCTTTAATATAGTATCTTAAAATAATAAATTCGCCTTCTTTAATGAATATAGTAATTATTTAATATAGTATCTTAAAATAATAAATTCGCCTTCTGTAATATAATATAGTATCTTAAAATAATTCTTTAATATGGTATAGTATCTTAAAATAATAAATTAGCCATCTTTAGTATAATATAATATAGTATCTTAAAATAATGCTTTAATATAATATAGTACCATAAAATGATAAATTAGCCTCTGAGAACACGGAGTCAGGTTCCCAGTGCTCCCCCAGCCTGGGCACCCAGCAGTTCCCTGCTGTTTCCCTGCAGACGATGTACAAGGCCAGCCAGGAGAGCGAGTGCTACGTGATTGACGCAGAGGTGCTGACCCACGACGTGCCCTACCACGATTATTTCTACACCATCAACCGCTACACCTTGACTCGCGTCGCCAGGAACAAAAGCCGGCTCAGGTACCTCTCCTGGGAGGGAAGGATGAGCAAAAAGCACCTGTGGGAGGGGGTTTTGGGTGTTAGAGAGATTGAAATAAACAAAATTTCTTTGTTTCTTTCTTTTTTTTTTAATGCTGTCCTTCCCAGCCAGCATTAAACACCTTTGGTTTATCTCCTGGAGTTCTGTGCCCTCTTTTCTCCTTTCCCCTGGGTTTTGCCCTTTTTTTGGCCAAACTCTGATTTGGGAATCCTAAAGGCAGGGCTGGGACCTGTCTGGGACAGTGACAATCAGGACAGAGACAGCTGTGCAAGGAGAGAGGACTCAATACCTACAAGAGAAGAAACCCAACAAGTGTTTTATTTTTTTTTTTTAATTTTTATATAATACCTACAAGAGAAGAAACCCAACAAGTGTTTTATTTTTTTTTTTTTTAATTTTTATATAATACCTACAAGAGAAGAAACCCAACAAGTGTTTTATTTTTTTATTTTTAATTTTTTTTTTTTATTTTTTCAATTTTTTCACTTCAGGGATGCAGTTTACAGATTTTTAATGGCACATAGAAACTGTGTATGTGCGGGGGTAATTTAAAACAAGTGATTTAATTGCTGACAAACCAGCTGCTCTGAGGGATAATGTGCAGAGTTCTCTGGGCTCAGTGTCTGTGAGGGTTTTGTCACTTCTTTGTCCTGTTGCTGGGACATTCCTGTCACCAAGAGAAGAGGCAGGATTTTCAGCTGCTGGGTTGATATCAATGCAGAGGAGTTACAGCTGCATCAGGGAGAGGATTTCCAGATTTTTCTTGCCTCTCTCCTGGATGCAGAGGTTTGCAGAGCCTGTTATCACTGCAGATTGTGATAAGCACAAGATGAACTTCCTGGGACTAAACAGAGGAACTGGGCAAAGCTATATCCCTGTGATTTCAGTAATGATAATCCAAATGTCTGCCAAATGGCCCTGGAGTGCTCCTGGGAGAGGCTCTTCCTGCCTTTGGAAGGATTTTTCCAGCAGTGCTTCTCCTCTGGAAGCGTGAAGGGCTGAGAGCATTCCAGAAATAACAGTGTGCATGATTATTTCCTGGATTTACACCGACAAAGATTGGGAATTGACATCATCACCAGGGGAATGAGTGACCTGTTCCTGTTCCTCCTCACAGGGTTTCCACAGAATTGCGCTACAGGAAGCAGCCGTGGGGGCTGGTGAAATCCTTCATTGAGAAGAATTTTTGGAGCGGCCTGGAGGATTATTTCCGTCACTTGGGTAAGAGTGGCAGTGACAGTGGCACTCAGGTTTCCCTGGGAGTGGGCAGCCTGAGCCAGCCTTGGGATGGTTTACAAAAGGGGCTACCACAGCTGGAATAAATGACCTGCTGGAATTAATCAGGGCAGCAAATCCTGCTCCCTGGCAGGCAGTTTGGGGGCAAATTTTGGTAAAAGGTGCGAGGAATGTGGAGCACAAATCTCTCAGGCTCTGCCAGCTTCTTTGGGCCAGCTGATGCCTTTTTTGGGGCTGCTTAAAAACAGTGGCCAAGCAAAATTAAGAGACTGAAAAGCGGTTCTATTTATTGAAGGGCCTTCAGGTACATCAAGGGCAGACAAAACCCACCCAAAAATGGACAATGGGTCCTGGGTTTCACACTTTTATAAGTTTGGTCCATTTGCATTTTGGGGGTGAATCTGCCAATTCCAGCTTCAGCTAATGAAGTCCTTGACCCCAAGTTTGCTGCCCCAACTCCCTTTTGTTTCCATCTCTGGGCCCTGAGGCAGTGAGGTGTCCTTGACTGCCAGGCCTGGAGAGGAATTGTTGTGTCTGCTCCAAATGGGGAAGCAGCAGCTCCCACTGTGTGTGGAGTTTGGAGTTCTACACTAAAGAACTGCAGGATTGCAAATAGATGGAAAAATAATAATATACTATTATTAAATATAATTTATTATCATCGGTAGTAGTAGTAGTAATATTAAATATAATATCATCTCTTTCAAGTAGATGGAAAATAAAAAAGCTGAAATCCTGGAGAGGAATTGTTGTGTCTGCACAAAATGGGGAAGCAGCAGCTCCCACTGTGTGTGGAGTTTAGTTATACACCAAAGAACTACAGGGTTACAAATAGATGAAAAATATAAAAACTAAAGTCCTAAGGGGGTTGCAGCAGAGGAGTTAAACCTTTCTCTCTCTATAAAATGCTCCCTGTTGGTGCTGCAGAGAGTGAGCTGACCAAAACAGATCAAGAGTCCTTTGATTGCCAGGCTTGGAGAGGAATTCTTGTGTCTGCCCAAAATGGGGAAGCAGCAGCTCCCACTGTGTGTGTCGTTTAGAGTTATGCACAAAAGAACTGCAGAATTGCAAACAGATGAAAAATATTAAAGTTAAAATCCAAAGGCATCATAGCGGAAGGGTTAAACCTTTCTCTCTCTATGAAATGCTCCCCCTTGATGCTGCAGAGAGTGAGCTGACCAAAACAGATCAAGTGTCCTTGATTGCCAGGCCTGGAGAGGAATTGTTGTGTCTGCCCAAAATGGGAGAGCAGCAGCTCCCACTGTGTGTGGAGTTCCACACTAAAGAACTACGGAGTTACAAATAGATGGAAAATATTAAAGCTAAACTCCTAAGGCATCTCAGCAGATGGGTTAAACCTTTCTCTCTCTATGAAATGCTCCCCCTTGATGCTGCAGAGAGCGAGCTGACCAAAACAGATCAAGTGTCCTCGATTGCCAGGCCTGCAGAGGAATTCTTGTGTGTGCCCTGAATGGGAAAGCCAGCTCACACTGGTTGTGGAGTTACACACTAAAGAACTGCAAATATGTGAAAAATATAAATCTAAAATCCTAAGGCATCTCAGCAGATGGGTTAAACCTTTCTCTCTCTCCCAAATTCTCCCTGTTTGTGCTGCAGAGAGCGAGCTGACCAAAACAGAGAGCACGTACCTGGCTGAGGTGCACAGACAATCCCCCAAAGAGAAGGTGAGCAAGCAATCCACGGTGCGGCGGCGGAAACGCGCCCACGCCCACCTGAGGGTGCCACACCTGGAGGAGGTGCTCAGCCCCGTGACCACCCCCACGGATGAGGAGGTCGCCCATCGAATCAAGCACGTGGCAGGTGAGCAGGGGACAGGCAGGGGTTTGCTCACAGAGGGGAGTGTTGGGGTTTTTGGGTGGGTAGAGGATCAGGGGTTCCTTTCCCTGTTTCCCATCCCAAATGCATCCCCATCTCCTCAGGTTCCACTCAGACACGGCACATCCCTGAGGAGAGCCCCAGTGGCTTCCACCTGCAGAGTGTCTCCAAGCTGCTCCTTGTCATCAGCTTTGTGTAAGTGAGAATTTTTTTCTGCTCTCCTCCCCAGCCAGCATTGCACACCTTTGGTTTATCTGTGCTCCTGGAGTCCTGTGCTCCCTTCTCTCCTTTTCCCTGAGTTTTGCCCTTGTTTTAGCCAAACTCTGATCTGGGAGTCCTAAAGGCAGGGCTGGGACCTGTCTGGGACAGAGGCAGCTGTGCAAGGAGAGGAGTCAATACCTACAAGAGAAGAAATCCAACAAGTATAAGCATTTTGTTTATTTTTTTTTACATCAGGGATGCAGTTTACAGATTTTTAATGGCACATAGAAACTGTGTGTGTGTGGGTAATTTAAAAGAAGTGATTTAATTGCTGACACACCAGCTGCTGTGAGGGACAATGTGCAGATCTCTCTGGGAGTCACTGGGCTCAGTCTCTGTGAGGATTCTGTCACATCTGGTCAGGTAAAACCTTTTCATGTCTGGTGCTGGGCAGTGATTTTGATGAGAGGCACAGCCAGAAAGCAGCTGGACCCTTGAGAGATGATTTCTGCACAATGAGTAAAGAAGCAGCTGAAGCAGGAGGGAGTGGAGTGATTTCATCAGCTCAGCAGCAGGAATTGTTTGGTTTGGGTCTTTCCTGCCACACCTTTCAGGGCTGGTGGGCTTGGACTGGGATGTGCTCTCCAAGTGAGCTGGGAATGGGCTCCTCACATCCCTGTGGCTCAGTTTAATACCCAAACTCACTGTTTTCATTGTTCCTTTGCCCTTGGGCTCACAGCAGGCTTCATTTGGTGCTGCAGTGCTCACTGGGCGGGTGCTGTGGGGCAGAACACCTAAAGCAATGATCCAGAACACCTAAAGCAATGATCCAGAACACCTAAAGCAATGATCCAGGCTTTTCTGACTTGGGCTCAGCTTTTCTGACTTGGGCTCAGCTTTTCCTTAAGCTCCACCTGCCTTTCAGAGAGGTGGGAGAAGCTGGGATTTCAGGGCTGAAATGGAGCTCAAGTTGAGCTCCTGTCTGTGTTCCCTGGTCCCAGAGGGGACACAGATGCAGAGGATTGCAGCCAGTGATAAATGAGGTGGGGTAAGGTGCTGCCATGATGAGTACATAGCACAGAGGTACCCAGGCTTTGTGCCAGGCTCCTGCCAGCTTCACTTGGGTCACAGAGCCCTCTGTGGTGTTTCCAGAATATTCCTCTGGCCCGTTGCCATCCTCCTGACTGGACTGGTCATAGTGGGCCATTCTTCCAGCAAAATAACTGCACTGTGCAGAGCCAGGCACCAGGCTGGCATTTGGGAATCTCTTCCTGGGCAGGAGCAGAAATGTGGGGGAGAGAGAAGCTGGGCAGGGCATGGCTGGGGGTGCTCCCAGTGCTGGGGTGGGAATGGGGAAGGGAGGATGTGAACACTCTGTGTGTTGTGGTGGAGTTTGCAGGGGTCTCAGGATGAGGGAAGAGATGAGAATCTTGACTACATATTTCAGAAGGCTGATTTATTATTTTATGCTATATGTTATATTAAAGGAAAATTATATATTAAAACTATACTAAAAGAACAGAAGAAATTATTTCATCAGAAGGCTTGAAAGGAATAGAAAAGAAAAAGAATGATAAGAAAAGCTCCTGACTCTCAGAGAGTCCAAGCCAGCTGACTGTGATTGGCCATTAATTAGAAACAATCAACATGGACCAATCAAAGATGCACCTGTTGCATTCCACAGCAGCAGATAATCATTGTTTTTCTTTTCCTCTGAGGCCTCTCAGCTTCTGGGGAGAAAAATCCTGGCAAAGGGATTTTTCAGAAAATATCATGGGCACTGTGTGTGTGTGTCAGTGCCTCACTGGGATATAAAATATTATATTTTAAAATATTTCTTTTAAATACATTTTAAAATATTATATTTATTAAGTATATCTTATATTAAAAATGCCTTAAATAAAATTAAAAGAAAGCTTTTTCTTCTCGGGAGAAAAATCCTGGCAAAGGGATTTTTCAGAAAATGTGATGGGGACAGTGTGTGTATGTCAGTGCCTCACTGGGAAGGCTGGATGTGAGCTCTGTGTGTGTCAGTATCTCACTGGAATGTGGAAATCTGGATGTGAGCACTGTGTGTGTCTCAGTGCCTCACTGGGAATGCTGGATGTGAGCACTGTGAGTGTGTCAGTGTCTCACTGGAATGGGGAAATCTGGATGTGAGCACTGTGTGTGTGTGTCAATGTCTCACTGGAATGGGGAAATCTGGATGTGAGCACTGTGTGTGTCTCAGTGCCTCACTGGGAATGCTGGATGTGAGCACTGTGTGTGTGTGTCAGTGTCTCACTGGAATGGGGAAGGCTGGGTGTGAGCAGTGTGAGTGTGTCAGTGTCTCACTGGAATGGGGAAATCTGGATGTGAGCACTGTGTGTGTGTGTCAGTGTCTCACTGGAATGGGGAAGGCTGGGTGTGAGCAGTGTGAGTGTGTCAGTGTCTCACTGGAATGGGGAAGGCTGGGTGTGAGCACTGTGAGTGTGTCAGTGTCTCACTGGAATGGGGAAGGCTGGGTGTGAGCAGTGTGAGTGTGTCAGTGTCTCACTGGAATGGGGAAGGCTGGGTGTGAGCAGTGTGAGTGTGTCAGTGTCTCACTGGAATGGGGAAGGCTGGGTGTGAGCACTGTGAGTGTGTCAGTGTCTCACTGGAATGGGGAAGGCTGGGTGTGAGCAGTGTGAGTGTGTCAGTGTCTCACTGGAATGGGGAAGGCTGGGTGTGAGCAGTGTGAGTGTGTCAGTGTCTCACTGCAATGGGGAAGGCTGGGTGTGAGCAGTGTGAGTGTGTCAGTGTCTCACTGGAATGGGGAAGGCTGGGTGTGAGCAGTGTGAGTGTGTCAGTGTCTCACTGGAATGGGGAAGGCTGGGTGTGAGCAGTGTGAGTGTGTCAGTGTCTCACTGCAATGGGGAAGGCTGGGTGTGAGCAGTGTGAGTGTGTCAGTGTCTCACTGGAATGGGGAAGGCTGGGTGTGAGCACTGTGAGTGTGTCAGTGTCTCACTGGAATGGGGAAGGCTGGGTGTGAGCACTGTGAGTGTGTCAGTGTCTCACTGCAATGGGGAAGGCTGGGTGTGAGCAGTGGGAGTGTGTGAGTGTCTCACTGGAATGGGGAAGGCTGGGTGTGAGCACTGTGAGTGTGTCAGTGTCTCACTGGAATGGGGAAGGCTGGGTGTGAGCACTGTGAGTGTGTCAGTGTCTCACTGCAATGGGGAAGGCTGGGTGTGAGCACTGTGAGTGTGTCAGTGTCTCACTGGAATGGGGAAGGCTGGGTGTGAGCACTGTGAGTGTGTCAGTGTCTCACTGGAATGGGGAAGGCTGGGTGTGAGCAGTGTGAGTGTGTCAGTGTCTCACTGGAATGGGGAAATCTGGATGTGAGCACTGTGTGAGTGTGTCAGTGTCTCACTGGAATGGGGAAGGCTGGGTGTGAGCAGTGTGAGTGTGTCAGTGTCTCACTGGAATGGGGAAGGCTGGGTGTGAGCACTGTGAGTGTGTCAGTGTCTCACTGGAATGGGGAAGGCTGGGTGTGAGCAGTGTGAGTGTGTGAGTGTCTCACTGGAATGGGGAAGGCTGGGTGTGAGCAGTGTGAGTGTGTCAGTGTCTCACTGGAATGGGGAAGGCTGGGTGTGAGCACTGTGAGTGTGTCAGTGGCACATTGGAATGGGGAAGGCTGGGTGTGAGCACTGTGAGTGTGTCAGTGTCCCACTGGAATGGGGAAGGCTGGGTGTGAGCACTGTGTGTGTGTGTCAGTGTCTCACTGCAATGGGGAAGGCTGGGTGTGAGCACTGTGAGTGTGTCAGTGTCTCACTGGAATGGGGAAGGCTGGGTGTGAGCAGTGTGAGTGTGTCAGTGTCTCACTGCAATGGGGAAGGCTGGGTGTGAGCAGTGTGAGTGGGTCAGTGTCTCACTGGAATGGGGAAGGCTGGGTGTGAGCAGTGTGAGTGTGTCAGTGTCTCACTGGAATGGGGAAGGCTGGGTGTGAGCAGTGTGAGTGTGTCAGTGTCTCACTGGAATGGGGAAGGCTGGGTGTGAGCACTGTGAGTGTGTCAGTGTCTCACTGGAATGGGGAAGGCTGGGTGTGAGCAGTGTGAGTGTGTCAGTGTCTCACTGGAATGGGGAAGGCTGGGTGTGAGCACTGTGAGTGTGTCAGTGTCTCACTGGAATGGGGAAGGCTGGGTGTGAGCACTGTGAGTGTGTCAGTGTCTCACTGGAATGGGGAAGGCTGGGTGTGAGCACTGTGAGTGTGTCAGTGTCTCACTGGAATGGGGAAGGCTGGGTGTGAGCAGTGTGAGTGTGTCAGTGTCTCACTGGAATGGGGAAGGCTGGGTGTGAGCAGTGTGAGTGTGTCAGTGTCTCACTGGAATGGGGAAGGCTGGGTGTGAGCAGTGTGAGTGTGTCAGTGTCTCACTGGAATGGGGAAGGCTGGGTGTGAGCAGTGTGAGTGTGTCAGTGTCTCACTGGAATGGGGAAGGCTGGGTGTGAGCACTGTGAGTGTGTCAGTGTCTCACTGGAATGGGGAAGGCTGGGTGTGAGCACTGTGAGTGTGTCAGTGCCTGCACAGCCACCTGCTGTCCCCCGGAGCTCAGCTGTGCTGAGGGAGCTTCACCAGCAGTGCAGGCTCACGGATCCCTGTCTGTCCTTCCTGCCTCTCTGCCCTCTGCTCCTTTCCCCTGCACTGTCTGAGCCTCCCCTCCCAGCCCAGTTTGTGTCTCTCTGTTTCTAACCTGCAGCTGCTCCGTCTTTTCTCTTCCCTGCTCCCATTAGGATCTGTTTCAGGTACTGTCTCTCTCTTTTTTTACCTCTTTACTCTCCCATCTCCCTCCCTTTCTCTGCATTCAGCACATCCACTCACTCAGCCTGTTCTGTCTGTCTGTCTGTTCTCCTGGCTCTCACATTTCTTCCACGAGGTGAAGTTTGGGCTGCTCACTCAGATTAAATCCCCACCCACAGCATGGACTGAGCTCAGACACCTTCCTCAGGGCTGGGTGTTGTCCCAGGTGCTCCTGGCTGGCAGTTTCGCTGTGAGATGCTCCTGAAGTGCCTTTTTTCTTGCTTTTTTTGCAGTCTGGTGCTGCTGGTCATTCTCAACATGATGCTGTTCTACAAGCTCTGGATGTTGGAGTACACCACGCAGACGCTGACGGCGTGGCAGGGCCTGAGGCTGCAGGAGAGGTACAGCCATCCCTGCTGGGGCTCCCCTTGGGGTTTGGGGGTGTCAGGGGCTTTCCTGTCACACCAGAGCTCTGGGCTCTCACTTTTGTGTGAAACAGGTGAAGCTGAAGTGTGCATTTCCCCCGTGTGCATTCCCCTGTGTGCATTCCCCTGTGTGCATTTCCCCCTGTGTGCATTTCCCCCGTGTGCATTCCCCTGTGTGCATTCCCCTGTGTGCATTTCCCCCTGTGTGCATTTCCCCCTGTGTGCATTTCCCCCGTGTGCATTCCCCTGTGTGCATTCCCCTGTGTGCATTTCCCCCTGTGTGCATTTCCCCTGTGTGCATTCCCCTGTGTGCATTTCCCCCTGTGTGCATTTCCCCCTGTGTGCATTCCCCTGTGTGCATTCCCCTGTGTGCATTTCCCCCGTGTGCATTCCCCTGTGTGCATTTCCCCCCGTGTGCATTTCCCCCGTGTGCATTTCCCCCGTGTGCATTCCCCTGTGTGCATTTCCCCCCGTGTGCATTTCCCCCGTGTGCATTTCCCCCGTGTGCATTTCCCCCTGTGTGCATTTCCCCCGTGTGCATTCCCCCGTGTGCATTTCCCCCTGTGTGCATTCCCCTGTGTGCATTCCCCTGTGTGCATTTCCCCCTGTGTGCATTTCCCCCTGTGTGCATTTCCCCTGTGTGCATTCCCCTGTGTGCATTTCCCCCCGTGTGCATTTCCCCCTGTGTGCATTTCCCCCGTGTGCATTCCCCTGTGTGCATTTCCCCCTGTGTGCATTTCCATCCCTGTGTGCATTCCCCTGTGTGCATTTCCCTGTGTTCATTCCCGTGTGCATTTTCCTGTGTGCATTCCCCTGTGGGCATTTCCCCCTGTGTTGGAATTTCTTGCCCTATTTGTGCCATTTCTCCTCCTTAGGAAAGGGAATTACTATCTTCCCCATAGCAACCCTGCTATTTCCACACAGATAGATACTTTACAGATACTTTTGATTTTATCTTTTTTGATTTTATCTTTCTCTGGTGGTCTTGGTGATCTTTAGACTACTACAGTAGTTTAGTATTTATTAGTATTTAAGTATTTAATAGTATTACATCCTGGTTGCACAGTAAGATGTGCAAGTGCTGGATTGGGTCACACTTTGAGTTCATGTCACTCTGTAAGCCCTGAATGGACCCAGGAGGAGCTGGACAGTGATGTTGTCTGGTAGATAAATTTAAGACTGATGGAAGAGCTGCATTCAAGTTCTCTTATATATCTATATCTATATTTTATATCTATACCTGCACATCCAGAGGGCCTGTGAGGAACCCCTGAGGGACCTGGGGGTGCCCAGCCTGGAGAAAAGGAGACTCAGGGCTGCCCCCATCACTCTCACAGCTCCTGAAAGGTGCCTGTGCTCAGCTGGGGCTGGGCTCTGTCTGCAGCAGCACTGACACAACCAGAGCACACAGCCTCGAGCTGTGCCAAGGGAAATACAGGTTGGATATGAGGGAAAAGTTTTTACAAAAAGGGTGATAAAGTTCTGGAATGTTCTGCTCAGGGAGTTGGTGGAGTCCCCATCCCTGGGTGTAAGTTCTGTACTTACATACTATTGTAGTAGTCTAAAAATCACCAAGAGCACCAGAGAAAGATAAAATCAAAAAAAGATAAAATCAAAAGTATAAAAAGATAAAATCAAAAGTTTAAAACAAGCCTGGATGTGGCACTGGGTGCCAGGGTTGAGTTGAGGTGTTGGGGCTGGGTTGGACTCGACGATCTTGAAGGTCTCTTCCAACCTGGTGATTCTGTGATTGTGTGAAAGAGAAATCTCTGTACAAAGTGGGATTTTCTGAGCCTTGCCTGTGTTTTTGTGGCAGGTTACCCCAGTCTCAGACAGAGTGGGCCCAGTTGCTGGAGTCCCAGCAGAAGTACCACGACTCCGAGCTGCAGAAATGGCGCGAGATCATCAAATCCTCCGTGATGCTCCTGGACCAGGTGAGACTGCCCAGCTGCAGGCAGGGCTGTGCCCAGGGTGTCCCTGTGTCCTCCCAGTGCTGCTCCCCATCCTTCAGCACCTCCTGCTTTCACCACAGCCCCTCAGGTGTGCCAGCTCCTTTAGACCCATCTCCTGCTGCTGGTGGGTGCCACAGGGGCTGTCAGGGGGCCAGGGCTGCTCTCTCCCATCAGAGGGGTCCATGCACGTCAGGGAGAGAACCCTACAGGGCCAAAAACCTCATGTGTGCACTTCTGATATCTAATCTGCCATCCCAGTTTGGAGAGCAAACTGGTTTGAGCTGAACCCTGGATTTGCATGCAGCTTTCAGGGAGGAAGGAAGGGGACAAAAATCTCATAGCGTGAGTCCAGGAATTTCAAGGTGTGCTCCCTAAAAAGCACACAGGGCTGCTGAGAGCATCTCCCTCATAAATCCAGGAATTTCAGGATGTGCTTCCTAAAAAGTTCAAAGGCTGCTGAAAATACAGTCCAGAAATGAGACCCGCTCCCTCATAATTCTGGAAATTTTTGGGTGTGCTCCCTCAAAAGCACACAGGGCTGCTGAGAGCAGCTTTCTTATAAATCCAGGAATTTCAGGGTGTGCTCCCTAAAAAGCACACAGGGCTGCTGAAAATACAGTCCAGAAATGAGAGCTGTTCCCTCACAAGTCCCTAAATCTGAGCTGCTTTCCCTTGAGAGAGAATTTAGGGAATACTAATCCATGTCCTTATCAGACAGTTCCAGCGGCTCACCTGGGTGTAGATAAGGACGAATTTGAGCCTCTTTGGCTCCTCAGCACTGTCCTGGTGGTCACAAGGGAGTTTATTCTTAACCTCTTAATTCTGCTCACTTCTTCTGGAAAATGGTGCCTCACATTCCCAGTTCCAGCCCTGATTCTTTCCCCTCAGTTTGGGGTTTTTTAAATGGGCCTGACTCCCACTCCCAAAATCATGATTATGGTATCAATACTTGGAAAAAAAGGAAAAAAGGAAAAAAAAAAATTCTCCTCCCCTCAGTTCTGCTCTGGGGGTTTAAATGGGCCTGACTCCCACTACCAAAGCCACAATTATGGTATCAATACTTGGAAAAAAAAGGAAAAAAATAGGAAAAAAGGAAATTCCCGAGTTGTCTCCTCCAGGGTAGCACCACAATGGAGAAATCTCTTCTTTTGCAGATGAAGGATTCTCTAATAAACCTCCAGAATGGAATCGGGTCCAGGGACTTCGGGTCAGATCCAGAGGAGAAAAGGAAACGTTTCCATTGACAGGCAGGAATGCAGGAGGCCAGAGGACGGTGTGCAATATGTGTAAATAGGATATATAAATATATATATAAATATATATATATATACAGATATAAATATATATATTATATACAGATTTTAAGAGAAAAAAAAAAAAGAAAAAAAAACCAAGAAAAAAAAAAAAGCCTAAAGAGGGGAAGGAGTGACCTCCAACACTGGCTGAACTGGAGGGGCTCTGGGAGTGTGGGGTGTGTGTGTGAGGGAGGGCTGTGCTCTCCCAGCACTGGGGTGTGCTTAGGGCAGTGCCCAGCTCTGCTCCCTGGGCCCGTGCACTGCTCCTCTGTAATATTGCTGTCTGTCTGTCTGTCTGTTCTGTTTCTGTTGTCTCAAAGGGAAGCATCAGTGTGAGTGCCCCCCATCCCCTCCCTGTGCATGGAGCTCCCTGCTTTGCTCTGCTATCCCCCAAGGGGACACTGTCACCCCCTCACCTGCTGGCACACAGGGTTGGCAATGCTGCCAATCCTGGCAAAGCTGCTTTGGAGAGCAGGGGGAGCTGCTGTGGCTCTCTGGAGGGCAGATCCCCCTGGCAGGATTTTGGAAATTGCTGTCAGGCTGGCTCAGAGAGCAGAGCACAGAGCTGCAATCCCTTCCACAACGCCCCTGTGCTGCTCCTGCCTCCCAGGTGAGTGTGACAGCGTGACAGTGTCCCCTTTACCTGTGCTCTGCCACCCCTGTGCTGCAGGTCTGCATCGGTGCTGGAATCACCACCCAGATTTAAACACACAACCAAAATTAGGATGGATTTGCACACACTCCCACCACCCAGCTCAGCAAATCTCTCTCCTGTTTGTTCACCCAGCCCTTGTCTTGTTAAATCTGTGGGGAAGAAGGGGGAAAAGCAACAGCTTCCTTTCCTTGCCTGGGATAAATTCACATAATTGCATCTATGCAGCAACAGCCATCACTGTGCATATTTATGTGACTGCATCTGTGGAGCAACAAGGCTTCCAAAAATCCAGGAGAGGTCAGGAAGGGCCACAGGGAGCAAGGGAGGGCAGGAAAAAGGGTCCAGCAGAGGGTGGCAGGGCAGAGCTGGCTGTGAGGCACACACACCAGCCCTGGAGGGCAGCCAGGTGCTGGAGCTGCACTCACAAACAGCCAAATGTGCATTTTGTGCTCTTCTGGGGGAGAATTCCAGACTCCATTAGCAGCCAGGTGGGGAAGAGGGGCAGCTTGGCTGTGTGTGCAATGCTCCAACTCCACAGGGACTGCAGTGGGGGTGAGGCTGCTTCCTGGAGGGTTTCATAAAGGATTTGGCCTCTTCCCTAGCCTGGTGGATGAGGGGAATGTGAGTCCAGCTTTGTCCAACTGGGATTTTTCCACCTTCTGAGTGGCAGGAGGGAGGCAGCTGCACATCCCCAGTGTGGAGATGGTGCAGGTGTGACTCCTCCAGGATGAATAACTGGTCTCACACCATTCTGTAGCACAGAATATCCTCAGTGCAGCCTGAGGAAAACCCTCCAAGCTCCCCTTTCCCAATGGATGCAGGAGTAACCTGCTGTTTCCTCCCCATGCCCCACACCAGATCCCATGTGCAGGAGCATGGATGGAGCCAGCCCATCAAAAGGACATTTCAGACTCTGAAAGCAAGCTCCAGCTGGGGAAAACCAGAGAGTAATGGCTATTTATGACTATTTATTTAATTTAATGCTGCTGACTACTGTACTGCTCCCTGGCTTTTCTCCCAGGGAGGCTGCTGAAATGGCTGCTGTACCATGAAATTGAGGTGCTAGGGCCTGGGACGGGATTTCTGGGGCTCATTTTCCCCACTGTGACTTGCCAGACTGCCCCAGAGTCCCCCTTTCCCCTCTTACCCACTCCCACAATTACCAAGCACACAGGATCCCCCTGCTGCTGGGATTTCCCTCTGCTAGAATTGAATTCCAAGCTCCAAGCAGGAGACACAGAGAAAGCCCTGGGATCCAGGAGAGAGCACACTGGGAAAGGGGAACCTGGAATGGGGGGTCTCCTCCACCTGGAGACAGAGAAATCAGAGATAAATGCTGCTGATCAGTGTTTGCTGCTCACATTCTCTCTGTTAGGGAGGCAAGGAATCCTTTTTCTCACCCTAAATCCTTTCTCCTGTGCAGATTTCCACTGCAGGCTCAGGATGTTCCCTCAGGCTGGGCCTCAGAGACAGAACTGTTTAAAATCACTGTTTAAAATCATTGTTTAAAGCTCTGTTAATCAGGCCAGGCAGCTGTAGCAATCCCAACACTGACATTTGTCCTACCTGCACATTAAAATGTTTTTTATTAATTGTTTGACACCTATCTGGCACTCAGCATTGTGAAATCCTTCAGTGGGAGCACAAGGGCACCAAGCAGAACCTGTCCTTCACACTGAGGGAGGTTTCTCTTTGGGCCTTTAGGGATTTTAGTTTTTTCCAGTTATTTCTTTTTCCCACTTGGCAGCCTTGGAGTTGGATGGGATTCACAATCTTGTTTTGCCTCTTAATCTCTCACAGTAGTGATAAAAGGGGAAAAGCAATGTCTTAAAGCACTGAGGGTGAGGGTTTAAAGAAAACCTTGGAGTGTTTTCAGTTCCTCTGGAGAGCTGGGACAGGAATCAGCTGCCTCTGAGCAGCCACAGCTGAAATTAATTCCCAGGTCCATTCGTGCTGGAGCCAATTCTGGATTCCATTTCCTGGAGGGATCAGTGACACTTTCCAGGAGTGAGAGGCCTGGGTGATGTTACAGAGGGTGCTGCTTCCCCAGCTCTCACAGCCAGGCAGGGTTTGGCTTCTGCCCTTGCTCACCCATCAGAAACCCCCCTGGATTCTTTCCAGGTGCATTTCCCCTCCCAGCCTGACCCTTCCACCTGCACAGCTGTGGGATTTGATTTGCAGGAGCTGAACAACCACCAAAACAGGGAATTTTTAAATTATTTTTATTTTTTAAAAGGCATTTCCCAAGCCAAACATGCACAAGCAATGCCAACAGCTTGTAGCCTAATTCCTGCTAAGGAAGATGCTTCCTGTTGGGAGAAGGGAGAGCAGGAGGCTCTGATCCACCAGTTTGTGACACAAACCTTGGCACAGCCTCACCCCTGATAAATGCACACCTTATCTCAGCTTATCTTAGAGCTCTGGCAGCTGGATTTGAGTCCTGGATCAGTGCAGTCAGGCATTTCCTGAGTGGATACCAGAGGTTTCTGCCTGTGAATCCTCTGAGGGACCAAACACCAGGTGATTCCAGGTGGAGCTGCCCAAGGCAGGGGCAGAGAGTGAATATGGGAGAATAAAAGGCAGAGAGGCATTTGTAGTGGAAGGAGTTGCTGGGGTTAACAGGATAAAGAGCTTTTTGGGTGCTCTGCACTCCAGGCACTCCTCAGTCACCAGATTGTGCTGTGAGCTCAAACTGACTGATCCTGGCTTGTGTCTGAGCCCTCCCTGCCTCCCTGGAGTCCTTTGGGAGGGGAGAGGAGAGACACAAACCTTTGCTGTCCCCTGAGCTGCCTGTGTGACACAGAGGCTGCATTTACACCTCTGGCTGCTGGATAGTTCTAAACCAGAAACTTCAGGCACAGGAAATGTCTCCAGTGCAGTGTGACCCTGGGCTGGCAGAGGAGAGGTCTCAGAGCACAAGGCTTTGCTGGATTTGGAGCCCTGAAGGCACAAAGCTGCCTCTGAGATAACCGGGCATGTATTCCCCTCTAGGAATGCTAATCCTGGAATGCTAATCCTTGTCCTTATCAGACAGCTTCAGCAGCTCACCTGGGTGTAGATAAGGACAGATTTTCAGCCTGCTTGGCTCCTCAGCACTGTCCTGGTTGTGACATAAGAGTCTGTTCTTACCTTTATGCAAGAAGGTAGAAATTTCTTTTCCAGAGAGTGGCTGGAGACGATTTGGGTCAGGGTACTGGAGACCTTTTGTGTTTGCTCTGGTGTGCTGCAGCAGCTGTTCTCCCCAGGAGCACAGAAACAAACTCCTGATGTACAGCTGGAACTGTCTGCTTCCACATTAACAGTATGACACCAGAGGGTTGTCTGTGGCTCACAGGAACTGAGGAGCAGAGCTGGAGCTGTGTCCTAAAATCCACCTAAAATGGGCTCAGAGCCGTGGGCAGTGCTGGAAACCCCAGAGTTACAACTCAGTCCCTCCTCTGTTGAGTTCAGGATTCTGCCAGGCAAATTGGGATAGGGAAAAAAATGGCATCTACCTGAATATCCCTGGATATTCTTTTGGATATCCCTTTTGGATGTTCCTTTTGGATATCAGGATTTTGGGAACTGGTGCCCAGACTGTGAGTGTGCTTCATCTGAAAAATGTGCTGGTTCCACATTACACAGAAAACCAGTCTTAAAATCACTGTTCAAAGCAGCAGTGCCGGCTCAGGGGGGCAGCTCTGTCCTGTGTGCCCAGGCAGCTGCTGCCACCCCCAGCTCTTGACGGATGAGTGCTTTGTGCACTGCCTGCTCAGCTCCAAGGGGCTCTGCCCATGGATCTCACTGCACAGCCCATGGCACAGCCCATGGCACAGCCCCCTGGGCTCTGGATTTGTCTTTTCAGCCTCAGCACCACTTAAAATACCTGACAGGGGCTTGCTTAAAGCACAGCTCAGAACAGAGACCCTGGGACCAAAGCCTCCAAGGGAAATGGCTCACAGGGCACCTGTGCCAGGGTGGCTCCTGTGCTGATTTTCTGCCTATTCCCCGCTGGACATGGTTGGAGCTCTGTGGCTCACAGACACCTGTGCCAGGGTAGCTCCTGTGTTCTCTGGTTTCTATGGCTCACACAACACCTGTGCCAGGGTGGTTCCTGTGCTGATTTTCCAGCCATTTCCCCATTGGACATGCTTTGATCTCTGTGGCTCACAAAACACCTGTGCCAGGGTGGTTCCTGTGCTCTCTGATCTTTGTGGCTCACAGAACACTGCCAGGATGGTTCTTGTGCTCTCTGAGCTCTGTGGCTCACAGAGCACCTGTGCCAGGGCGTCTCCTGTGCTGATTTTCAGTCTGTTCCCCACTGGACATGCTCTGATTTCTGTGTCTCACAGAACATCTGTGCCAGGGTGATTCCTGTGCTCTCTGAGCTCTGTGGCTCACAGAACACTGCCAGGGTGGTTCCTGCGCTGATTTTCAGTCTGTTCCCCACTGGATATGTTCTGTGTCTCACAGAACATCTGTACCAGGATGGTTCCTGTGCTCTCTGAGCTCACAGAGCACTTGTGCCAGGGTGGTTCCTGTGCTGATTTTCAGTCTGTTCCCCACCAGACATGCTCTGGTCTCTGTGCTCTGCAGTCTCTCCAGCACGAGTCTCTCTGTGCCATAAATCCTCTCTGTTCCCAGATGTGCACACTGGCCAAACACTCTCGTGTCTTGGGTGACTGTGATCGAGGCCATTCCCTGATCTTGGCAGCCAGCATGGGCTTCTCTTAGCATGGATCCATGGCATGCCATGCCCCCCTCCTCTCCCACACGTTTTGCAGTGCTTGCTATGGCTTTTCCCTGTGCCCTCCCACCTCTGCTGCTGGACAATCATTACCTGTGTCATAGATGGTCTGACCTGGTGCTGTCCCTGCCTGCCTTCCCCTCCTGCAGTCTGTATGCTCTTCAAGTGAATGTGTTTTATTTTATTTTACTTTATTTTACTTTATTTTATTTTATTTTATTTTAATTTTTTTTTTTCAGTAGGGAAAAGGACTTCCTTCTGCTGAAGGAGTTATATTTGCACATGGCTCGGGGAGGTTCCTCCTCTGGCCCTTTCTGTTACCTCACTCATTTAGGCCAATTCCATTGCTAACGTTCAAGGCCACCTTCCCTGACACCAAACCCTGAGAGTAGGTAGGGAATGAACCCCGATGTGGAGCTGCCCAGTGGAATTGGGATTTGGGGGAGCAGCTGATACAGCTCCATCCAGCAGGGAGGTGGAGCCTGTGCCATGCACGTCATCCCCATCTCCACATTCCCACCTCCTGCAAAATGGCCCCTGGAGAGCAGGGATGGAGGCACCAACCTGGCTCTGGGCTGGATGTGGAGGGAGGGAAGAGCAGCAGAGCAGTGGCAGCACCACAACCTCCCAGGGGCAGCCTGGGACATCACCATTCCTGTGGGATTCCATCTCCCACCAGGGCTCCAGGGCTGGAGAAAGCTGCTAAAACCCTGGGGTTGTTCTCCCCACCTGGGTTTTGTCCTCCCCATGTGGGTTTTGCTCTCCCCACATGGGTTTTGTTCTCCCCACCTGGGTTTGTCCTCCCCACCTGGGTTTTGTCCTCCCACCCTGCTCCTGTAGTTCCTGGGATGATGAACGAGGCTCTGCTCTCCTCAGCACGGCACAGGAGCAGCTCCTACAACCACCACAGGCACTGCATCCCTGCTGGAATCCCCTCCAGAAGCAGGGGGCTGCTGGCTGAGGTGACTCTGGGGTGGGTGGGGGAAGGATTTGGGTTTGTTTTAGGACTTGTCCCGACTGTCAGAAACTTTGCGCTGTGCGCAAAACAAAAAAAAAAAACAAAACATAAAAAGAAACGAAAACAAAACCAACCCGCGGTTCAAAGCGATACTGGAACGTGCTGGAATGTAGGAATTGTACAGGCTCTGCAGCCAAACTCTGTGTAATTAGTTAGTACCATGGAAGTACGGTATCAATTAAAAAATCTATCCAACAACCAGCGTGGCTCTTGGTTCTTTTTATTGTCCTGCCTGTTCCAGAGTCTCCTTGCTCATTCCATCACACACACAGAGTCTTTGTCAGGACCATCTCTTCCAGGTCTTGAAGAATCACCAATTTTAAAATTATTATTCCTTTTTCCCTGCGAGATTCTTGAGCAGAACTTTGCACTCTGTTTCCTTCTGCTTGGAACACACGTGGCAATGTCACCTCTGCCTGCAGGAACTGGAAAAGTGAAAGATTTGTCCAAAAAAAGCATCCAGAAGATGCCTGTGGGACTCAGGGAGGTGCAGGACAAGGGGATGGCCCTTCTTTACCACCTGAGGTAGCTCTCAAGAAGTTCTTGGGTTCACTCCTGCTTTGATTTAACAGTATGACACCAGAGGGTTGTCTGTGGCTCACAGGGACTGAGGAGCAGAGCTGGAGCTGTGTCCTAAAATCCACCTAAAATGGGCTCAGAGCCGTGGGCAGTGCTGGAAGCCCCAGAGTTACAACTCAGTCCCTCCTCTGTTGAGTTCAGGATTCTGCCAGGCAAATTGGGATAGGGAAAAAAGATGGCATCTACCTGAATATCCCTGGATATTCTTTTGGATATCCCTTTTGGATGTTCCTTTTGGATATCAGGATTTTGGGAACTGGTGCCCAGACTGTGAGTGTGCTTCATCTAAAAAATAAATGTGCTTCCCTTGCCAGGCTTGGCTCTGGGTTTGGGAGCAATCCTACTACCAAGACTGCACTGGAGTAGTTGGCTAAAGTTGACACCCACTCTAAAAAAAAAGGGTTTTGAACAAGTTCCAGTTGGAAATTGGCCCGAGCCTGCCTTACAAATGGGGTAATTCCTGTGATTTTTAGCCAGCACATAAAAAGCAGCAGGACAAAGCAGAGGGGATCCCGTGGGTGGGGAGCATGCCTGGAGTCACGAGCACTTGGAGCTACTTCACAAATGGAGCAGAATCTGTCAACTCAGTTGTCAACAAAGCAGCACAGGCTCCACTGCAGCAGGGATGTCACAGCTCTGCCATGCAACAAGCCCAAACCTTCCCCAGCTGGTTTCACAGCACAATTCCACCCTGGCCAATGGTTCTGCCTTTTCCTCCCTTCCAATCCCAGCTGTTGAGCTCAACTGATCTGCACTGAAGGGCAGAAAACAAATTTTATTCTGCTTAACCCTCAGAAAAGGTAAGTTTGCATAGGAAAGATGGAATTTGCAGGGTGATTCCTGGGCACCAGAAGATCATTTAGGATTAATCCAGACTATTTATACTGGTGATTAATTACCTCAAGAGAAAATTAGGATTAGTGGGAAAAGTCGCTGTTTTCTGTCTGTCCCTCTAGATGGTGCTGCTACAGCACCAGAGAACTATCACAGTTATAAAACTACAACCATTTTACTCAGCTGTGAGGGCTTTGCATCCTATTTATTTCTCCTGCCTACCAGCATGGGGCTGCCTTCCTTTTTGGGGTTTCCCAGGAAAGGTGGATCAGTACCTTGTCCCGCTGCCTTGCCAGCTGTGGCAGGTTCCTCCTGCTGTGCCAGGCAGGTGGAATGAGGGCTTTGACACTTGATAAATGACAGGGACACAGGGGATTCTAATACTTACATCATCCTGCTTCCCAAAGCAGGAATACTTCATGGTCTGTATTCTCAATTTCCTCCAAAGTGTGAACATGACAAGAGACCTGTCCTTCCTACTGTACTAAATTTCTAATTTTAGTGCATTACAGTCCTCACCCTACTCTGCTTGTGCATGGACAGCCTAAAATTCAGAGTGACTTCATTAATTAATTAAATTCTCCCTGTTTTAACACCAAGAAAACCGCTTGGGCCACAGTATGTGGTGGAATAACCCCCTAAGAGGTCCTTGTTCACACTCCTGCAGCTCAGAGCAGCGTGCCATACATACCCTTAACCTCTGCAGTGGAGAAGTAGCACATTTAGCAAATAAAGGTGGTGGTGAGAGCAGCTAAGGACTGACAGGTGACATTTACAAAGCCATTGAGGTGATGGTGGGACTGAGAGCCGGGGAGGAGCCGTGCTGCCCACACCCTTTTGCTCAGCATGCTTCCACAGAGGAGTCCTTCAGCACCGGGCTGGCAGCTCGGGTGGGTCACAGGACCAAAGTCAAGGCTGTACAGAGTCCAAATGGGAGAGAATTTACACTTCCCCCTGCTCCTCCTTTGACAGCGCAGAGCTCCCCTCAAAGCTGGCTGGTGTGGCGTGGTCCTTCTGTCTTCAGAGCCCCTGCAAGGGAGACAATTCCTCTTGGAGCTCACAGGGGTGAGGGTGGAGTTCGCACAGGAGCTGACCAGAGGTGAACGAGAGGGTAAAAGATCCAGATTTTAATCTGTAGCACACAAACTCTGTCAGGACCCAGCACATCCCTCTGTCTGTCCTGAGCAGCCCAGACCCTGCCAGGGGGCTCAGAGACCCTGGCACAGAGCCCAGAACACCTGGGGGGGGTTTGATTATGGCCCATGGAGCAAGTTACCAACCTTGTAGGAAGATCAGCAAGCCACAACAGTTTAGGTAGAATATTAGTGAAGTTATCATGGGGTGAAAAATCGATTTTTTGGGGTTTTTGGTATGGGAGCTCAGGAGGCAAGATGGAGGGAACTGGGTTTTTCCAGCCTTTCTCCTTCTTCTTCTTGGCCTACATCTTCTGCTGTGATGGTGGCACTTTGGGATTGGTTTAGAGTAGAAGCTCACTGTCTAACATAGGTGATAGGGATTGGGAAGCAATTGTAAATATTGTACATGTAGTTTTTAGTATAAAGACATAACACTGCCCTGGGGGCAGGCAGAGTGCCTGGAACTGTCCTGCTGGATGGACCTCGGCAGGGCAGGAGAAAATTTTTCATAGATAAGACAAAATAAACAACTTTGAGACTGAGAAATGAAGAGCCCTGACTCCTTCTTCAAGCGCCTGGCTGGGAAAAGAGACTTTTGAACTCTTCTCGGGGTCACTCTGACCAGCTAGAGATCCCAACAAAATTCCTTCCGAGAATGTGTTTTCTTTGGAGACAGAGCCCTTACAGCTGCCCTTGTGCAGGGGAAAGTGAAGTGAAGATTCCCAACTCCACAGCAACAGGTAAAGGAGGCATAAATACATCGTGGCCCGTGTTGGTTTGTGTTTCAAGCAATACAAGCACACCTAAAGACACCTGTGTGGCTTCTGAGGTTTCTGGGGAGGCTCCAGGGGAGCACAGCCACGCTCCAGGAGCCTCCAGCCCCACCACAAGGAAGCTGAGGGGTGGACAGACACAAGGAGTGACCGCTTGTCCATGACCCACCTTGGTGCCGCTCACTGCGCTGCCTCCCCTCTGCTACTCCTCCACAGGCACAGCACAGTTCTCCTTGTTTTCCGATGGAATTGCAAGGTAGTCTGTCCTGTAGTTGGGGGGAAGGAGGAAAGCACACAGTGTAAAGGCCAGCTTGGGTAAACTCACCTTTGCTGAATGCCTGGAAGCATCTCTGAGGTAACAACATCATCTGTGGATGCTCACAGAGGGAAACTCCTGGGCACAGGCAGGAGCAAACACTTCCCTGCTCCAAAATCCTACACAGCCAGCCTTCCTTGGTACAAAGAGTGCTCCAATCCCAGCCAAGTGTGTGGAAAGATGGGAATGGGGCAGGATGAGACCAGACCTTCCAGGAGAGCATCTCCACATGGCCCAAACCTGGAATAGTGCTCACTCCCTGCCTGGTGTGTGGTGCAAGGGGCACAGTGCTGGTGCTCCTAAACACTGCAAGGGCTTTGGGCAGAGCAAACACCAACCAGCCCATGCCACAGCAAAGTTCATCTTCCTGCAGCCTTCCAGCATGTTTGAATCACTGCTCACTTCATTGACCTTTGTTGCCCTGTTCTCCTAAAGTTCTTCTAAGTTCTTCTAAGCCTTCTGATGTTTACATTTTTGTAATGGAGTTTCTCACACACTTTTTATGTAAATGATTGCTTTGCATTCCTTTCTGGAGGAGGAGAGAACTGATTGACTGCTTGTTTGACCAGTGTGGTTGGAGAGGGGGCAATTTCATCCTCTAATCCATGGTCACTTTTGGAATTCTATAAATATTGCAAATAAACTATCCCTTTTTTTGCCTTGGACATCTCAGAGTGCAAGCGTCATTCATTTCATGTCATATTGCCACAGACCTTATTGAGGATTTCTGGCAAACTACACAGGGTCTGTCCCATGTTGTGGACACACTATAGGCCCAGGTTCCTGCTGGTACAGAACCAGCTCCTTGGGGTTTTACAGTAGAGGAGGTGAGGCAGAAGGAATTAGTATTACACAATTTATTCAATCATCAGGAAGAAAAAATCACCAATTTTAGACCTGATTGTCCTGTGCTAGCACCGGTCTATGCACATCTGAGAGCTCTGGGACGTGTGAGGAGCTCCTGCTGAGCTGATCTCACCTCCAGGGGTTCCACACTTACGCGTTTTCCTGGGCAGCCTCCTCTGCCTTGGACACCTTCCTGTAGCAATAGATCATCTCAATCAGCAGCCACAGCGTGAGGAACACCAGCAGAATATACATCATGATTTCTGAGATGACAGAGGTGAAATCTTCTCCAGCTGTGAATAAAATGAAATAACCCCTGATCGTTTCCATGCAGCTCCATGGACACTTCCCACCCTTGTGTCATCCTTCCTAACCCTCCTTGCCAGAATCTCCAGGTGCTGTGAGGGGGCAAAAGGGAGGGACCGGCAAGAGGCAGGGATGGCAGAGGGATCCAACATGCACAGCCCTGCCTGTGCCACCCTCACATCCTCAGGGATTGCTCACCTATCTCATCCTCAGGGATTGCTCACCTATCTCATCCTCACGCTCTGTTCCTCACTGGTGTTACTCAGCTCTGTTGTGTCACCAGTGATTTGTAAAGGATCAAAACACCGAGGAGCTTCAGGGGGAGAGGGAGGGAAAGGGCAGACAAAAGGGCTGAAAGCTCCCGGCCCTCTCTGAAGAGAGCAGCAGAACCCCCTGTGCTGTCTGTAACACGCAGCACCGAACCCAGCAACACCCAGAGGAGCAGAGAGACTCAGGAGCACCACAGAGGGAAGGAGGAGGAGACTGGCATCAAAATGGAGAAGCAGTCGTTGTTCCAGGAGGGAGGGGGCGGCAGCAAGGAATCTCTGCGGCTCCCTGGGAAAGGCATTGCTGTAACATCCAGAGCCACCACCGGAGGAGCTGGAAACCTCTGCTGGAGCCTGCCCAGCTGTGCCCACTGTGCCAGGCCCACCGTGCCTTCCCATGCTTACACACAACCAGCCTGTGCCCACAAACAGCCTCCAGCCATCACACAAGCCACAGGTTTTCCTCCTGAGCTGCGTTTGTCAATGCCAAACTCAGAGTCCTCTCCTGCGGCGCAGTGACAAACTATCCACCATGGTGACAACACCCACGGCCAGTGACAGCACAAAACACCCTCCTACCCTCGTCCACCACGGTGAGGTGGGTCATCCTGGCCACTGAGAGCACAAAACACCTTCCTACCCTCCTCAACCATGGTGAGCTGGATCACCCTGGCCAGGAACAGCAACCACACAGTTCAGGGAGTTCTGTTGGACGAGTTGCTGCATTCAGAGGCCTGTGGGCCAGAATAAAGCTCTGGATCCAAACCCTCCATCAGAACCGACTCCTTTCCTTCACCATCCCCTTAAAGCTTCTCTGCCAGAGGGAAACCTGAGGAGCAGCCCCTGTTATGGGGGAAGCTCCATCCCAGCACCACCAGAGCTCCTGCAGGCCTGGACTTGTCCCCACGGGCCCAGTGCAGCACCCAGCCAGCCCAAAGTGTCTGTGGGGTGAAACACCACACACCCAGCCGGCCCAAAGTGTCTCTGGGGTGAAAACTGTGCCACTATTTGGTTCAGCAGCAGGGCCAGACAAGCTCAGGCAAGTTCTGTCTACAATATTGGTAATTATTCCAATAGATCATCTTGGCCAGGGGAGAACAAAACATAAAACGCCCTCCTATCCTTCTCCACCACGGTGAGGTGGATCACCCTGACCAGGGACAGCACAAAACAGCCTCCTACCCTCTTCCACCATTGTGAGGTGGGTCACCTTGGTCAGTAAGAGCACAAAATGCCCTCTTACACCACGGTGAGTGGATCACCTTGGTCAGTGAGAGCACAAAGCAGCCTTCTACCCTCCTCCACCATGGTGAGTAGATCACCCTTGACCAGTAAGAGCACAAAACATCTTCCTTCCCTCCTCCACTACGGTGAGGTGGATCACCTTGGTCAAGAAGAGCACAAAACACCCTCCTACCCTCCTGCACCACGGTGAGGTGGGTCACCTTGGTTAGTGAGAGCACAAAACACCTTCCTACCCTCCTCCACCATGGTGAGGTGGGTCACCCTGACCAGGAACAACACAAAACACCCTCCTACCCTCTTCCACCATGGTGAGTAGATCACCCTTGACCAGTAAGAGCACAAAACACCTTCCTACCCTCCTCCACCATGGTGAGGTGGATCACCTTGGTCAGTAAGAGCACAAAACAGCCTCCTATCCTCCTCCACCATGGTGAATAGATCACCCTTGACCATTGACAGCACAAAACACCTTCCTACCCTCCTCCACCACGGTGAGGTGGATGACCCTGGAGCTCTGGAAGAGCGGCCGGTGGATCTCGAACTCGAACTCGCGGGTGATGTTGCAGGTGTAGATGCCCGAGTCGTTGAGGGTGACGTTCACCACGGTGATGGACACGTCCTGCATGTCTTTGCTCCCGTTCCACTGGATCCGCCCGCTGAAGCGGCTCGGGAACTCGTGGTTGGTTTTCCTGTACTCGTAGATCTGTGAGGGAATAAATATAAAGGAATATATAGGTCAGTGAGGAGTATATATATATATAAATATAGATAGATCTGTGAGGAAATAAATGGATATATAGATCTTTGAGGAATATACAGATAAAAATATAGACATACCTGTGAGGAATATATATAGATATACAGATGTGTGAGGAATATATATATATAAATAGATCTGTGAGGAAAAAATATATATGTATAAATATAGATAGATTTGTGAGGAAATAAATATAAATGGATATATAGATTTTTGAGGAATATATCCATATAAATATAGATAGATCCGTGAGGGAATAAATATAAAGAGATATATAGATGTGTGAGGAATACATATATAGATATACAGATGTGTGAGGAATATATATATAGATAAATAGATCTGTGAGGAAAAAATATACATATGTATAAATATAGATAGATCTGTGAGGGAATAAATATAAATGGATATATAGATTTTTGAAGAATATATATATAGATAGATCTGTGTGGAAATAAATATAAAGAGATATATAGATCTGTGAGGTACATATATAGATATATAGATGTGTGAGGAATATATATTGAAGATATAGATAAATAGATCTGTGAGGAAAAAATATATATGTATAAATATAGATAGATCTGTGAGGAGGATAGATAGATAGATAGATAGATAGATAGATAGATAGATAGATAGATAGATGGATCTGTGAGGAATATATATGTAAATATAGATAGATCTGTAAGGAAATAAATATAAGAGATATATAGATCTGTGAGGAATATATATATATATCTGTGAGGAAATAGAAAGGACTGTGCTGGTTCATCTCTGCCTTGGACAGCACCATGCCATGAGCCAGGGGCAGCATCCCCCTCTAGCTGCACTCAGGGATGTGCTGAGCTCCCTTGGTAACAGCAGCTATTCATATTCCATCATCCTTTGCCTCAAAGTATCAGGTGACTTTACAAAAGACAGGAAAACGAGTGATCAGGAATCCAATATCCCACCAGAGAGGGAGAAAAACGAAGGCACAGCAGAACACAGATGCATGTGGACAAAAAAAATCAGCAATGGGACAGAACACTGGGATTCTTCATGCCCAGCAATGTGCCTGAGAGTCACTGCATGTCAGATCCCGTGAGGAAAGAACCACAGAGCACCCACAGTGAACACCAACAGCTCTTTTTTGGAAGCCCTGGGGTATCCGGCTGAGATGGAAGTGCTGCAGGACCAAAATGGCAGTGTGACATTCTGGCTGACCACAGTCCCACCATGACCTGTGGTTGGTGTTCTTTGGGTTGCCACTGGCAAATGGATCCCCTGGGGCACTGGGAGTGAATTCCCACCTCATTCCTTAGCCTGGTCCCTTTAGTTCTCAGACAGAAGGAGAATATTGTAATCCTGCTCAATCACAGCTGCTGATTTAATGCTTCAGACCCAGATAAAATAGCTAGAAAGAAATGTGCACTCAGCCTTTATCTAGTTCTCCATTTCACCATTCTCTCTTGAATTCCAGCTGCTCCTCATCTGTCCAATTTCCATTTTGATTCACTCTGAAAATCAATTTTACCTTTTCCTGACAGGGATACAAAGCAGCTCCCAGAGATCCTCCCACAGTTGGGATAACACTGCTTTCTCTGAGGCAAAAAATAAGTAAATCCTGCCCTGCAGATGTATTTTTATTAATTTCACCTCCAAAAGAACAGCTTTGAGATTCAGAACTGATTCAGACAAGGGTACCAAGGGTCAGTCATATTTGACATCCTCACATACTGGGCTTGAGGTATTGAGGGAATGGGACTGGAAATTGGCACTGATTAATCTACAACCCAAATATTTGACCTCAACAACTGATTGCAGCTTTTCCTGCCAGGAGTCCGTGCTGTGCCCAGGTGTGGAAATGGGATAAGCAAGGAAAGAAAGAGAAAGGACTCCAGTCACACATACAGGCTCATCCTTCCCCCCGTTGGGCCTGTAGTACCATTCCACCACCGTGCTGGCTGTCACCTCTTCCCTCTTCATGCAGGAGATGCAGAGCAGCTTCATGTCCGTCCCTTGGACAGCCTCTGTCTCAGATGGGACTTCCACACACACCGAGGAGCAAAATCCAGCTGGGGGAGAGGAGCAGCAGAGGAAGAGGCGTTAGGACAGAATTAGAGAAGCATCAGTTATTCACATCTTGGCATTAATGTCCCTAATGGAAAATGGCTTGATTTATTACTAGAGCTGTCTGATAACAGATTAAGTCTCAAATGTTAAATTTTACCAAGCTTCCTTCTCCTGAGATATCAATAATTCATAATAATTAACAGAGAGTGATCACTTCACACAGATTCACCTCTCCAGCATCTGCTTTGCCACAACTTTCATCTTTCCCTGGTAATTAATGCCACTTTAAAGGCATTGTTCATTGCCTCCCATGCGTGCTGGGCATGCCCCTGTTAGAGCAGCAATTACAGCCTGGGATGAGGGGAAGCCCAGAATTCCAGAGTGGAGGAACAGCTCTCTCTTTGTGCTAAGTTGGGAGGTCTGGATGCTTTAATTCAGCAAAACTGGGAGGGTCCAGCACCCTTCCTGTTCATGGGCACCACTGGGAACCAAGGGGCTTGGACAGGAGTGAATTTGGCAGCAGGAGGAGTTATTGATTTCCCAGGCATTCCTGCTCAAAACGCTTCCAATCAGAGCTGTGCTAAGGCTGGCAACTCTCGAATGCTGCTCTTGCAAAGAGGACAGAAATGGTTGCATGTGAAGCCACACGCTGGAGCAGGAAGGGATCGTTTCAGCACCACATCTCCGACCAAATCCCTGCTGACATTTGTCCCCCGGGCTAAACAATCCCGGGCTCTGTCTGTCCAAGGCTGTCTCCAGAGCCCAGACGCTGACTTTGCTGGCTGCTCCCTCCTCCCCAGTCTCTGAGGCACCATTAACCCACTCTCTCAAGCAACATATTATCTATCCCGGGACTATTCCTGGAAGCAGCCTGGTTCCAATTCCCCCTACTACCAGCTCCACGCACAGCAGCAGGGAGAAATCTTCCAGGGAGAAATAAGGAAAAGCTCCTGGATCCTGCTTTGCTCTGAGAAACGAGATCTGTGCACACCGACAGGCACCCACACACAGGGCTGAAGGCACACGCACATCGAATGTGACAAAACCACCCAACCCCTTCTCGCGGCAGGAATCAAACTGCAGCTGCAATCGATTGATTAACTCCAGTTTACACAGACTGCACGGGAAACGGCACTAAAGCACCTCTTAATGGGCTGCACACCCTCCCCGAGGCAACCCGATGTCAAATCGCGCTGCAAACCCCAGACCGACAGCAAACAGCGAGGGACCGGCACATGCCTTGTGCTCGGCACGGAGGTGTTTTCACTCCCTCACACCCACACCAACTCCCCACGAGCCTAATTCCCTTCTCCCCACAACAAAAGCCGCACTCGGAGGGCAGGCTCGGAGCGAGCATCCTCCCTTCTTTCCAGCGGCGCTGGGTGGGAGAGGGAGCGGCATCACCTACCCCAGAGCAGCAGGGCGAGCGCGGCCGAGCAGAGCAGCCGCGGCAGCGCAGCCATTGTTCGGAGCGGGGCCGGCGCTCAGGCTCCTCGGTAGGATCCTCTCGGATGCTCTTGGATGCTCTCAGATGCTCTCAGATGCTCTCGGATGCTCTCGGATGCTGCTCTCTGATGCTCTCGGATGCTCTTCCTCCGCTCGCCGCGCTCCCGGCGCAACAGGATGCCGGGCGGGGAGCGGCCGGGCGGGCGCGGTCCGGGGGATGCGCTCGGCCGCGGGGGCGGCAGCACCACGGACAGAGCCCGGAGCCTGCACGGAGCCCGAGCCCGGAGCCCGATACCGGGGCTTGCACGGAACCTGAGTCCGGACAGCTCCGCGGCTCCGCGGGCGCGGCCGGCGCTGCGCAGGGCGCGGGCGGAGCGGAGCGGGAGCACCGTTAGATCAGCAGCAGCAGGGTTGGATCATCACCATCATCATCACCATCATCATCACCATTATCATCATCAGCAGCAGCAGCAGCAGCAGCAGCGGCAGCAGCAGGTGCCCCGCGCCGGGAGCGGCTCCGCGGGGCGCGGCCGCGGCGCTTTTGTTGCGCGGGCTGCGGAGCGCAGCGCCCGGCGGGGAGGATGCTTGGGAGGATGCCTGGGAGGATGCCTGGGAGGATGCCGAGGATGCTGGAGCAGCCCGGGCGGGGGGCACGGCCGGCACATGCGCGGCCGCCTCCCCCGGCCCCTCCCGGCTCAGCGCAGGCAGCCCCGGGCTCCGGTGGTCGCAGCGCCCAGCTCGGCTGGAGGCATCGCACAGAGGATATCACATCAGCACGGAGTGTTGAGGCGTTGGAATGGAGCTTAAAGCTCAGTCCCACCCCCTGCCATGTGTGGGGACAACTCCCACCAAGCCACGTCCAACCTTCGAGCACGTCCACGACCTCCCTGGCTGCCCTGTCACCGTGCCACAGCAAAGCATTTCTTCCCAAAATCTGAATTTCCCCTCTTTCCATTTGTACCCCTCGCTCCTCGCCCCGTCTCTACAGATCAGCATCACTGTCCTGCCTCCAAAAAAAGCCAGGGGGTGGGGGGGAATGGGGGGAGTTATCCCTGCGGGGTCACAGAAAGGCCTCTGCTGCTAATAAGTTTAATACTAACATTTGCACGGCTCTGAAGGTCACAGTGGGAAATACTGGGAAATCCTCTTGCCTCATGTTCCTGCCTGATTCCAGGGAATTTAATGCCAGCAGCAGGCTGGGCTTTCTCTCCTTGGACAGGGGCCACCATGCCCTGGAGGGCTGCTCCAGCTTTGAAGGTCACAGTGGACACAGAGAGGAGGAAATGAAGCTTTTGTTGCATGTGCTCCTTTTAAAGCACCTGCAGCTCCACACACAGCACAACTGATCGAGTTAAACCTGAGGATGGCACAGGAGTGGCTGGCAGTGCCAAAACTCAGCGTGCAGGTGGCCAGAGCCACCCAGAGGTGTTTGCAGGCAGCAGAAACATCAGCTCCAGCTGTGCTGGGGCTCTCAGCTGGGCACACCCCACTGGTGTGGGGCACACACGTGAGATCAGCTCCCTGCACTGCTGGAGCGAAGCAGGCACAGAACAAAGCCAAGGCTTTTCCTAGACATCACCTAATTGTGTTTGTGTCAGCAGGCTGCCTTCATCATCTGCCAGCGGCCACGCAGAGCAGCTGCCTGCACGTCACCCTGCCCAGAGAGGCTCCAGTGGCTGCTCTGAGCAATTCCCAGCCAGGGACACCCTCCTGCTGCTCCTGCTGCCTGCAGAGGTTGCTGTGCCCTGCTCCGGCCCACACCCGATGGGATTCCCCAAATCTTTGCAGCCTGAGGTATCCCAGCAGGTGCTGGCCAAAGCCACATGCTGGCTGTCAGGTTGTTCTCACTGTCCCCTCTGTTCTCAGGCTTCTTTGGGCTCCTGTGCACTCTTTCAGCAGCCCACCAGAAGAAAATAAATCTATTTAATGTACCAGGTGTGGCCAGGGAGACCTACAGCTTGCAGGGTGCTGATGCCAGCATTCCATCCCCCCCTTAGAAATCATCCATCATGGATATAGAGACCTTAAAATCTGATTTTAACCCTAAAATCTGATTTTAAGGTATCACAGCAAACATGATACCCAGAGCTGCATGAAGGACACTGAGCCATTTCCTTTGTCCCATTTCCCCCTGTTATCACCACAACAGCACAAAGGGAAGGGCAGGTTGAGCCACAAGGACTTGCTCCTACCCCTTCTGGAACAATCCATGCCATGCACAGCAGATGAGTGATGGGGACGGGTTTTTTATAGCCCCAGGAGCTGCTGGAGAACATCCCTGGCTCTGTCTGTCCTCTGGCAGCCACCTGTTCCACAGAGCTCCATGGAAATGAGAGCTATTCCCAGGCCCCAGGTGCCCTGGCAGGGTGCAGAGCAGGGATCAGCAGGGCTGCACTGTTTGTGCTGCTGCCGCTCTAATTACATCTATTACAGACAATCCTGCCAGGGAGGAGACTCAGGGGCCAAGAGGATTAAGAGGAAGCAGCAGCTCGACCACACTGACTCAGTCAGAGCCTCTGACTGACCCCCAGCCCCTGCTGCTCCTCAGGTAGAGGCAGAAACCTTTTCTCCTCTAACCCCAGAGCCTGCCTGCCAAACAATCCAATGATATTGGCAAACAAACATCCTGAAAAAGTAATGAGCTTTCCCTCAGAATCACTCATGTACCAACCCCAATGACTCCATTCCAGACCAGCCTTGTAGCTGCTATTTAAAGGAGGGAAATGGGGCCCTGAGGTGGGGAAAACCTCTGGTGAAACTGGCCTTGGATTTGGGTGGATTTTGAGATGAAAAGTCACAGGTCAGGGAGGTCACACCCTCTTCCCCAGCTCTGGAGAAGTTTATTCTTCACCTCAAACCTACCACAGACAAGACCCAAGGTAATTTGCAATAAATCCACCCTGATTCTTAACCTGCCACAAGCTGTGCTGGTTTTGTGTTCAAAGCAAACCTCTCTGGGTTCTCTCTGAATGAAAGCATAAGATCATTTCACTCTTCCTACAATCTGGAACCACTCCAGTGCCACCCTGTGCCTGCTTGGGACAGGCAGCAAACACCTCCCTGCCCTCTTCAGGAAAACTTGTAAATAATCAGGATTTCACACTCAAAGCTGTTTCAATTTTGAGCCCTGCACAAGGGATGGAGAGCAGAGATCCTCCCAACCCTTTCCCACACCAGGATGATGCACAAGCTGCTCCTTCCTGCCCTGTCTCCATCCCTGGGGGTCAGGGGTGGCCTTTGGGGCACCACAGAGGGCACTGCCACTCCAGGGCACATGGAGAAGGGGATGCAACGCTCAGAGAGAGAGAAATCTCGACTGTCGAGGGAGGAATCTCTGCAAGAAGCAGCCCAACTTATCATGCAGGGGTTGCTATGGCAACCCACCCAGTTAATGCTTCACAGGAGGAAAAAAAAAAAAGAGAGAAAAAAAAAGGAAAAGGCTGAAAAGGCTGGCACTTGTGCACAGGCACAACAAGGCGAGGAGATAAAAATAATTCCAGCACCCTGCCCCCACTGATCCCTCACTGTCGTGGTCCCTGCGGCTGGGACAGGGCAGTGGGAACGAGCCCTGCGTGTCTGGGCTGCTCTGCCATCCCCAGCACACCAGCCTGGGGCACACAGCAGAGCCAGCATGCCATCAGCTGCTCCCAGAGCCCTGCAGGGCTCCCACAGCCAGCCCTGCCACCCCCGAGGCCCAAACTGGGGAAAAAGCACCCCTTTGTGCTCCTCACCCAGCCAGGATGGAAGAGCAGCGCTGTGCAGAGGAGCCTGCAGGATAATGAATGTCAATTTGGAGATGTTGGATGTAATGGATGTAGGCGCCCTTCCCACGCACTCCAACATCCCTGCTGCACAAATCCCAGCAAGGCAGGGCTGCTCTCTCTCTGTTGCTTCCACAGGGTGCCTGGGGGGGGTTAGAAAGGCTCATTCAGTTTTCTCTGTTCACACTCGAGGTTTAAAATGAGCTCCCCGTGTTCCTGCCAGCACCTGGATCCTCTGAATGTTCTAAACTGGAGGCAGCTCCAGCTTTGCTCTTCACACACCTCTGTGCCTGCATCCCCAGCTGATGCCGAGGATTGATCCGCAGTTTCCAGCTGCACCCAGTCCCTTCCCATTAGATCCTCATTAATGCCTTTATTTGCAGGTCCCCAGAGTGCCTCAGCTGCCCAACCTGCTCTCTCCACACAGAAATCACACCTGCATTTGTGTTGTTCATTGGAACCCTGGATGCTGAGAGCTTTGGGTTAAAAGGGAAAATAATTTAGGTGCCATTTCTTAATTGGATAGTTTGGCCTTAAAAGGCCTTGTAGAGAAAGATAGTGAGCCATTTTGCAGCCTGTTGGGAGAATGCTGTAGAAATCAGGACTTGTAAGACTGTGATATAGAAAAGAAATAATAAACATCTCAGTCTGGACATGAAATTCCATTTCCAACACTTCGATCTCAACCTTGGCAGAGGTGGGAAAAAAACCAGCATTGTACTGTTTTTTGGGGTTTTTTTGCCAATCTACCTCCCCATGGAGTGTAACAGAGCGTGAACACCCCCACAATTCCCCAAAGCTCTGCTCCATCCCGAGCAAATCTGTGATTTCTGTCACACACACCCTGCAGGACCTCTCTCTGTGAGACACAGATCGAGCTTGTGCTTGATTTACTGCTCTCCCTGCTTCCCCCCAGGGCCCACAAGTCACAGCTCCTTTGCCATCCTCCCCTCCTCAGCCTCCTCTATTTATCCTTGGCTCTGGGGCTGCTTTTCCAGCAGGACTCACAGCCAGAGGGGCAGGATTTCAGCGAGCTCTGTGACACAGAAGTGGCTGGCCTGCCTGAGAGCATTCCCAGAGCATTCCCAGGACATTCCCAGGGCATTCCCAGAGCATTCCAGAGCCAGGGAAATGCTTTCTGAAACGAGGAGCAGCCTCACCCAGGTAGAGCTGCGCATGCACAGCGCCCTGGCAGGGTCAGGGATTCCCTGGAGCAGCAGCCACATTCTAAAGGCTGAAAATTCCCCTCTCTGTGTCCACAAGCACAGAGCACATTCCTGCACCTTCCTGGCACGTTGTGGTCAGCAATTCAATCAACAATTTAATTTTTTTTTACCCCCACCCCAGACCTTTAACCCAGGCTATATTTAGAGGGGTGTGACTGTATACATCCTGGAAATTCAAAGTCCTGGTGTGGCTCCAGGTGCTTTTGGGCATCGATTTCTGGGAGTGGATGCCAAGAAAATCAGGCACAGAGGGAAGGCTCTGTGTGT